AAATCGCAAAAATCCAAGTTTCCAGAAGTAGGATCACCCCTACTTGGAAACCGAAATTCGCCTAAAAACTGGCGCTACATTCATGGCAAGTGTTGGGCACCAACGAGTAGGATCACCCCCACTTGGACCCAGAACATATGTCGCTAAAGCAATAAGGCCACACCAAGCAGGATTACCCCTACTGGAAACCCAACCTGCTTCAGACAGCAGAGACCCACATCTCTGTGCTCACTACCGACACCCAGCTTGCTTGGGGAAGTCAAAAACCAACAGCCCCCAGCTCTGCTGAAATTTGCAAAAATCCAGCTTCCAGACGTAGGATCACCCCTGCTTGGTAGCTGAAATTCGCTTAAACAATTCAAGCCATATTCATGGCAACTGCTGGGCACCCTCAGGTAGGATCACCCCCACTTGGACGCCGAACCTGTGTCGCTAAAGCAATTAGGGCCACACCAAGTAGGATTGCCTCCTGCTTGAAACCCAACCTGCTTAAGACAGCAGAGGCCTACAACCCTGTGGTCACTGCCTGGCAGTGTCGATGGGCAACCTGTGCGCCTCAAGTAGCGTTGCCTCGACTTGGAAACCCAGCTTGCTTGGGGCAGTCAAAACCAACAGCCTCCAACTTTGCTGAAATTGCCCCCCCCCCAAAAAAAAAACTGTTTCCAGAAGTAGGATTTCATGGCAGGTGTTGGGCACCCTCAAGTAGGACTACCCCCACTTGGACCCGAAACCTATGCCACTAAAGCATTAAAGCAACACCAAGTAGGATTACCTCCTGCTTGAAACCCAACCTGCTTAAGACAGCGGATGCCCACAGCCCTGTGGTCACGCCTTGGCAGTGCCAGTGGGCAACCTGTGATCCTCAAGCAGCGTTACCTCTACTTGGAAGCCCAGCTTGCTTGGGGCAGTCAAAACCAACCGCCTCCACCTCTGCTGAAATTGCAAAAATCCAAGTTGCCCAGACGTAGGATCACCCCTACTTGGAAGGTGAAATTTCCTTAAAATTTCAAGCCATGTTCATGGCAGGTGTTGGGCACCCTCAAGTAGGACCACCCCCACTTGGACCCAAAACCTATGCCATTACAGCAATAAGGCCACACCAAGTAGGGTTATCTCCTGCTTGAAACCCAACCTGCTTGAGACCGCAGAGGCCCACAGCCCCTGTGGTCCTCAAGTAGCGTTGCCTTGGAGACCTAGCTTGCTTGGGGAAGTCAAAACCCACAGCCTCCAGCTTTGCTGAAAACGCAAAAACTCAAGTTTGCAGAAACAGGGTCACCCCTACGTGGAAGATGAGATTAACTTTAAAATTCAAGCAATGTTCGTGGCAAGTGTTGGGCACCATCAAGTGGGATCACCCCCACTTGGACCCCAGACCCAGGTCACTAAAGCAAGTAAGGCCACACCCAGTAGGCATACCTCCTGCTTGAAACCCAACCTGCTTAAGACAGCAAACGCCCACATTTCTGTGCGCACTGAGAACACCCAGCTTGCTTGGGGCAGTCAAAACCGACAGCCTCCAGCTCCGCTGAAAACGAAAACCTCCAAGTTTCCACAAGTAGGATCACCCCTACTTGGAAACAAAAATTCGCTTAAAAACTGACGCCACGTTCATGGCAAGTGTTGGGCACCAACGAGTAGGATCACCCCCACTTGGACCCAGAACATATGTCGCTAAAGCAATAAGGCCACACCAAGCAGGATTACCCCTACTGGAAACCCAAGCTGCTTAAGACAACAGAGGCCCACATCTCTGTGCTCACTACCGACACCCAGCTTGCTTGGGGAAGTCAAAAACCAACAGCCCCCAGCTCTGCTGAAATTTGCAAAAATCCAGCTTCCAGAAGTAGGATCACCCCTATTTGGAAACTGAAATTTGCTTCAATTTCCATCCATATTCATGGCAACTGCTGGGCACCGTCAAGTAGGATCATCCCCACTTGGACGCCGGACCTATGTTGCTAGAGCAAGTAAGGCCACACCAAGTAGGATTACCTCCTGCTTGGAACCCAACCTGCTTAAGACAGCAGAGGCCCACAACCCTGTGGTCACTGCCTGGCAGTGTCGATGGGCAACCTGTGGCCTGCAAGTAGCGTCACCTCTACGTGGAAACCCAGCTTCCTGGAGGGAAGTCAGACCCAACAACCTCCAGTTCTGCTGAAGTTGCAAAAATCCCGAGTTACCAGAAGTAGGATCACCCCTACTTGGTAGCCGAAATTCGCTTAAAAATTCGAGCCAGATTCATGGCAAGTGCTGGGCACCAAAACGTAGGATCGCCCCCACTTGGACCCCAAAACTATGTCACGAAAGCAAGTGCGGCCACACCAAATAGGATTACCTCCTGCTTGAAATCCAACCCGCTTAAGACAGCGGAGGCCCACAGCCCTGTGGTCACTCTCTGGCAGTGCCAGTGGGCAACCTGTGATCCTCAAGTAGCGTTACCTGTACTTGGAAACCCAGCTTGCTTGGGGCAGTCAAAATAACCAACAGCATCCAGCTCTGCTGGAATTGCCAAAAACCAAGTTGCCCAGAAGTAGGATCACCCCTACTTGGAACTGAAATTGTTCTTAAAATTTCAAGCCATATTCATGGCAGATGTTCGGCACCCTCAAGTAGGACCACCCCCAACTTGGACCCGAAACCTATGCCACGAAAGCAATAAGGCCACACCAGGTTACCTCCTGCTTGAAACCCAACCTGCTTGAGAACGCAGAGGCCCACAGCCCTGTGGTCACTGCCCCTGTGGTCCTCAAGTAGCGTTGCCTTGGAAACATAGCTGGCTTGGGGAAGTCAAAACCCACAGCCTCCAGCTCCGCTGAAAACGCAAAAACTCAAGTTTGCAGGAACAGGTCACCCCTACTTGGAGCTGAGACTGAGATTAACCTTAAAATTCAAGCAATACTCATGGCAAGTGTTGGGCGCCATCAAATAGGATCACCCCCGCTTGGACCCCAATATATGTCACGAAAGCAAGTACGGCTACACCAAGCAGGATCACCTCCTGCTTGAAACCCAACTTGCTTGAAACAGCAAACGCCCACATTTCTGTGCCCACTGCCGACACCCAGCTTGCTTGGGGAAGTCAAAACCAGCAGCAGCCAGCGCTGCTGAAATCGCAAATATCCAGGTTTCCAGAAGTAGGATCACCCCTACTTGGAAACTGAAAGTCAATCCATATTCATGGCAAGTGTGGGGCACCCTCAAGTGCTGGGCACGCAGTGCAAACAGAGCCAAATGGATCAAATGGCCGAGCTTTGCTAACCCCGAATTGCTAGAGCGCCCTCTCACCAAGGTCATGACTGCGGCAACGTTGTCGAGGAACCAAAGACCATGTCGATGTCGAAAAAGGTCGGGGCGCTCGATCAAGACGCACAACACCATAGAGAGCTCCAGTTGCGTGCCTTGATGGCCATGAGACCGCCATTCCCGACTCACCCAGAAATACCTTGCACCAAGAAGTTTGCAAGTCCATAAAGTTTGGAAGCTGTGCCTCGAGTAAAGTGGCCTGCTTGACGTGCTGTGGCAAGAAATCACGAACTTTGCCATGGAGTCTGGTGCGGGCCCAAAAACGAACATGACCTGTCTTATTGATGCAACTCGGGTCATGGGTAAGTCCCAGAGAAGCGCCAGTGCTCTGCATGGTCTGCGTTTTGTCTTCCGCAAATGGGGGTCCGATCATCAGGCATAGTTGGTTCATCGCCCATTGCCTGGAGCCCTTGGCAGAGCGGACGTCAGTGATCGCGGCATCAAAGTACAGGGATGTCAAAACTTGGCAATACCGGCGGGTCAGCGCTTCCAACAGTCTGGAAAATCAGTTGAACGAAGTGACTGCCAGGGGGATCCTAAACAAGAGGCCTGCATAGACCTGGTAAACCGGAGTTTGCCACTCATCAGTGAAACCAGACGACACGCAGCCTAAGCTCTCCTGCTGTGACATGGGGCAGTACCTGTAGGCAGACGGCAGGTCCTCTTGGCCTGTCTCCCAGGCATCATGGTGACAAAACTCCGCGGCCTCGTCCTCAGACCAACGACGCATAACCAGGCTTATGTGCGACTACATGGTGTAAGCATATTGGCATCGGAAGAAAGGTCTGATTGTCCTCCGGTGTCACCGTTGTCGATGACTCGTTGTTTCCCCGAACTTTAGGTGATGACACAGCGCAGGATAATACGATGTGCCAGGCCGCCGATGTCCCTGAGGAACTCTGCTTGCCGCAGAGAGGTGTACAAAAACCATTTCTGGCGTCTTCCAAGGACTGCTGCGGCAAGAATGCATCGCCTCGCCACGTGCTGCTTGAACTCCAGGAACGCAGCAGCATGGAGGAGCGTCGCTTCGGTGGCCGCCGGGATATCGCTCCCACGAAGCTTACGCTGCATGCACGGTCTCCCCTTGCAACTACCAGGGCACCCCTTACGACCCTTGTAACCAACCAGGTCACCCCTGGTTATTGATGTGGTGAGCCACTCAATCATCCACGCAACCCAGACTTTCTTGCAGCGCCATAGGGCAGTACCTGTATGCTGAAGGCAAGTCCTCCTGGCCTGTCTCCCAGGCATCGTGTGCGAGAAAATCTGCGATGTCCTCATCGGCCCAACGATGCATCACCAGGCGGATATGCTGTGCAGGGCGCAGTGGGCTGCACAATGTGAGCTTGTTGGCATCAGATGACAACGCTGATTGTCCTCCCGTGTCGCCATTGTCAATCACTCGCTGCTTGCCAGAACCAATCAATCAAGGTCTGGGAAGGTCACCCCTTACCAAGACCAAGAAAGAAAAAGCAATGAATGCTATTTTGGTTCAAGTTTACTTGAGCCAAAATGAAAGCATTCATTGGAGCACTTAAAGATGATACATGCACACCCAAGCCTGCCAAACTCAATGCATGGGTAGGTATAATTCTAAAGAGCATTTCAACCTCAGTCATCCCCTCTTTGCTTCCTGAGAGATCCTGAGAGTGCCTTTTCGTTTTGGAAACTTACGGGCAACCTGAAAGAGAAGCAACAGCGCCACGTCGAGATTCCTTGCGCATCTAAGAGGATGAAATCGCCCACCCTGGCATTGCACTTCCATTTCCCGAAGCACACCTGAGACGGAAGTGGTTTTGGACACTTTCATGTCACTCAAAGGAACAAAAATCTGAACTCAGGATATGACAATAAAACATATATCAAGTTCCAGTCAACCGTCAGTTTGCTCAAAGAGAAGAAAAACATGATATATTGGTAAACATTCCAAATCGCAAGAGATGCGCAAGAGATGCGATTCAAACAAATCGGGATACCCTCTGGTAAATTAACAGTTTGCTATGGAAAACGGCCCATCTCGTTCGATGGTTTACTTATGAAACATGATAAACATGGTGATTTTTCATGATTTCCCATGGGTTTCCCATGGTTTTCCATAGCTATGTTTTGAGTTCCTATCCACCTCTCCCGCCCAACCCAGGGACCCAACGGCACCTTGCCGCAGCTACTGAAACATATCCCTTGACCTTCCGCGCGCCCTTCACGGAAGGAACCCAGATGCTGAGTCTCTGCCAGAGTCAAACATCCCACGCCATGGGGCTTGCCGTTGGCCGCGCCCCACCGGCCCAGCTCACCTGAAGGAGGTGAAAGGCACACCCTCTGGAGGGAAACTTCAGTTGGATTGGCACTTTTTTCCCATAAAACTTGATTGAAGAAAAGTTGGGGGCGGGTGACTCTACAAAAGAAACAGTTGACTTTCATCTCAAAGTAGTTGGCGCTCAAAGATGTTCTTCCCCCAAATATTCTGAACATGATAGGTTTTGACTCACCCATCCCCGATTGATTCCCATACTGTTGATTGTATAAAGCCACGTATCAAAAATGACCAAAAACACATGTCAATAGGCCAAAAAAGCCAAAGTGATGTTGCTCAACTAAACACCCATTCTAGGTGGTCAAATATGATTAATTACTCATTTCTGTTGGTCAAATAACCCCAGGTACCAGTCAGATCTCCACAGTTTTTGCACCTGCAAACGCTGCCTCAGGCGTCAGTTGCATCCAGCTGTGCTTCCTCCAAACATCTTTCAAGTCTCGCTGCAGTGAAGACCAAAAGTCCAAAATCTCGGCCAGGACCTAAGCTCATGCAGTTGGGAAGTCAGGTGGGGAAGATGATGGAATATGGATGCCCATAGCTGCCATAGCTCCGAACCGGATCGTCAAACGGCCACCCACAAGTTTTGAAGCTTCTACCTTTTCAAAGCTTGAAATATATGAGTACCGAGGTGCATCCCGTGTCCTGCCCGCACCCACAGCTGATGTTGAGGCATGGTGTCGGGGTAGCAGTGGGAAGTCCAGGGAGTGCAGGGGCGATGGGGAGATCTGGTGTGAACTGGTCTGCTGATGGAGGGCTTGTACATGTTGTTTGTTTTCCTGGCAGGGTTCAGGGCCAGAACTTGGGAAACTAGGATGATCCAAGTAGGATAAGTAGCTATCTCAGAGAAGCTCTGGAAAGTCTTAAGCTGAAGCCAGTTGGAAACCCTGGGCAGGTGCTTCGCAGAAAGCACTTTTCGACTCGGTGACAAAGGTGAGTGTACCCCCAGGTAGAACCACAATGAAGCACATATCCCTTCCAACTAAACCTTGCATGATTTGAGCATTCTCCGTGCCCCCAAACAAATATCAAATGGAAAGGCTGAGGTGGCATGATGATCCATGATGCGGGATTCTAATGTCCAAAGAGGCTGTGCTCTCAAGATTGTTCAGCCTGCTCAACCAAGAAAAGAGCATCCAAAACATCCAAAAACCAATCACGAAGAACTGTGAGCAACATGGCCCTAACCTTCAGTATCCTGCACCCAAAACCATCTCGAACAAACTTCAAAAACTTCAGTAGCTGCCTGGGACTACCAAAACCTTCACCTCATCCCCATCCCACCTTTGCTTCCCTCTTTGTTTCAGCCGGTGGCCGCGTGCCCAGTAGATGCGGTCGCGCATGGTGGGGACGGCGGCCTATCTCCATGTGGCCCCAGCCTTGGGCCTGCGCCAGCATGGCCTGGTTCCACGACATGGTCACGCGAGCTCCGGCCTGACAGCTGGAGGTACCTGGGAGGAACCAGCGATGGGCACTGGAAACCCATGGTCTCACACCCAAACATCGAAAATAGGTCTCGGATTTTTGGTGAACCAATTCTAGTGGGCTTTAAGGGGTGGTGATGTAGCATGCCTAAGGGTCAAAGGAGAGCCAGTCAAGATGAATGTGGTCTTTTCACGTCTTTTCGCAAAATCCAAATCACCATTTTCAGTCCAAAATGCATGGAGTCGTCTGGGCTACAAAGCCCAAGTCCCAGCTATGTCCCACCCCATGAATGTCCAACCGGAGCCAAGGGGCCCAAGGGATGCACACCATCCTTGAATTTGAATTTGGTCTGCTGCGCTCCCAAAGGGATGAAACCACCATTCTCAACCATGGCTGGGAACGACAGGAGCTGTCTTTTTGATAGCTGAGGCTCTGGGATAATATGCTTAAGCCATTCTGCGGGAGGGGTAGCATGGTTTGGGGATGCTTGGGACCTCAGGGACCGGCAGTTGAACTGGATCCATCTCGCCATTGGATTTTTGGGCCCAACCTCTTGGATAAGAATATTCCTTCGTTACGCGCATATACAACAAACATATACACATTGAGATGTATATACGTGTATGATCGTGTATGTATATCAAACCAAATCTGTTAGATATGTACATGTACATATACAAAATTTACATATTTCATCATACACACATAACTGTCCGGAACTTTCAACCTTTATGCTCCCATCTTCAACTCCCATCCAGCCTTTGCTGGCACCTTTGGCTTTCGGCGTTGGGCCTGGTCGCACCACCTAAGTGACTGGCCAGGGACTGGAACTGATCTGACCAAGGAGAATGTTCCCAAACAGTTCTTCTCAGGTAAAAGAGGAAGCTTTAATATGTATATGTACATATATTTGCATATTAAATGCGCGAATATCTATATGCAATGATTGTATATATATATAGATATATATAAATAGAAATACCATGATCAAAGATTTTATTGTTTAGGATTATATATAAAGTGAATGACTAGATAAGGTACCATTTGTTTGAGCGGTGATGTCACCCCTTACCCGATGATTGTATCATCGTGTCCAGCACCAATCCTGCCACCGGAGGGGCCAACCCGGGAGTGACGTCAGCTCCTGGCCGTAAGGATCCGGGAGTACGATGGGAATATCAGGTGGTAACTTGAACAATAAACTTCAATAAGCCCTATGTTTTGAGTCGGGGTTGCAGTCACCCAATAGGTTCTGAAGGATGATCATTGTTGGTATTATATGTTATCATGATTGTTATTTCCGTGCCGCGGGTTGCCACAATATTGCTCCGTTTCCACCACTGGCAGGTATCCTTTTCAGACTCGTCACAAAGTACCTGTACGTATCTACAGTTGTTGTGGTGATATCTTCTTGTTGGGTGGTGATATTCTCTTTTTGGTGATGCAAAATAATGACTATCAACACCTACCCACGCTGGAGCCAGCCTCGAGTGCCCTGGGATTTCTTCATCTCGGCAAAGTTGCGAATCTTCTGCGCTTCTTGGTGCATGGTGTGGTAGAAACAGACCTGCCACCCAGGAATACCCAGGACACCCCAGGAGCCAGGCGGATAATTCTGGGGGGTCCTGCTGAGCTAAAAAAAACAAGGGGCTTTTACTCATACGGTTTCCACTTGTTTTTTTCTTCGATGATTTCCTTGCCATCCCAAGAGTCAAGTAAAAATTAGTTGTGTATATAATGTTTTTAGCCCCAAATGTGTATGGACCTTTGTTTGGTAGTACCTGACCTAATCTCCGCATGTGCCCCGAGGCACCAATCTGCCGCCCGTCTTCTCCGTGTCACAGGGCATGCTGCAGGGGAGGCCATCTTTCTTGTGGCAGGAGCAAAAGCCCAGGGAGGGAAACTGACCTCGGCCAGCCCAGCAAGCTTGGGGCAAAGGCTGCATCATTGGGGACAGTGTCTGTAGCCAAAGCTTCACAAAGGGGCCAAAGAAAAATTGCATGAGGTATGTGAGACAATGTCTGAGACTACAGTGTTGGCAGTCACTTGTTGTGGCACCCTCAAAAGTGGCTAGTTAGTTACTAAATGGTAAGTGCTTGGTAAATGATTGATACATGGTTTTAAATGGTTGGTAGATGGGGCACAACCCCTTTAAGTGGGACAGCCATCCGCCAGTGGAGCGGCTAATCATTGAGTGTGTCACATTTGACCACCTTTGAAAAGCGCCCCAATTGGATCCTATAAAGTGACCAGTTGGTAAACCTGCAATACCCTTGGGCTAGACTGACAAACAGCCAGCAGTTTTATCACCATGGCCTCACCACTGCAGTGCTAAAACTTTTGCATAGCTAATCTTACCCCTCTTTCACGGTTAACAAACAACCGGGAATCAAGAACTTGCCAATCAAAGTTCAACCTTGTAACCAACTCTTCACCAATCAGTTTATCCACTTAAATTGGCTATACATCTCCCTCTTTGTAGTTAAATCTGTGTTTTCAATTGCTTGAAAACGCAATTTTGCGGGCCAAAATCACCCAGCTTCTGAAATCCACATGTTTTATCATTCTTGGTAATTAGATGTAATTAGTCAATTGTATATATATATAGTTATTATAATCAGTTGATCCGACCTTTCATGGTGATTTTCCATTGATTTCGTTAAAAATCCCCGAGATCACCACGGCGAGTTGTCTCCTGCGATGCCAAGTATCCCAGCAGCACCAACTGCGTTGAGTGCGTCACTTTGGCGGAGATCAACGTCTCTGAGCCCTGGTCCTCGGGCGTGGGGCTGTTGGCAGCTCCATCCGTCCCATGGAAAAAATGGAAGAATGGGGCTTTAAAAATCAACGAAAAGCAGGGTTAAAATCTTGGAACATGTTGGAAAATGGTCGCTTAAAATCAAGTCAATACCTACTTAGCAAACATGATGGCTTTATGTGGATTTAAGTAAACAAAAACTTGGGATTTTACACCAGCAATGTGAGGATCTCACCAAGCAAAGGTAGCAATGAAGCCGACCAAGGTTCTGGACGCTGGTTGGACGCCGTCGGGTTCAGCATGGCAAAGACAGCCCCATAGTGCACCTGCTGGCGCGGAACGACCATCATGTTGTACGGTTGATGGGTTGGAGCTACCTGCAACTGGGATACCCCGACGCCAACCACAGGTTTTGAAATTATACTTGCAAAACAATGCATGTCCATCAATGCACAAGGCAATCTATGGATTTGATATGAAAGGTGAGGATGCGTAGCCCAATAAACACAGTATATCTCAGGCAGCTGTGCAGAAACTTTTGGCATTGTTAAAAGAAACCTGCGGGTGCAATTTGCCAAGTCATGACTTGCCAGGGAAACCTGAGTTTGCCGAATGTAAATTGGCATCCTTTGGAAAGGAGATCCAGCCAGTACATATCACCCCAATCACAAAATCATGACAGTGTCAAACTCGGTCATCCCGCCATTTTCCACCCCAAAAGCCAAATCTTCAACATCAAAAACACACATGATCACACATGAACTACCGGCCATGTGTAGGGGGTAACGACCTATGCCGAACCTGCCATCCGGTAATGCTGCATTCCGAGCGTCGGTTTTGCCCAGATCCACGTGCCAGGCTTCAAAGGCTTCGCTGCAAAGCCTTCGTTTCGATGCTGCGGGGGACAACGACCATGGAATGGGGGATGTCTTGCCGGATCTAGTTTGATCTAATGGGATTTTTCGTGGGACTATAACTGAATCTCAGCTACTGTAAACTGACCGGGAATATCAAAGGACTGGTTTACGGGAATATGTACAGGAAACTGTGGCTGGGTTTTTCCATAACATAGCCTGGCAGTTTCGGTTCCCTTAAATCAACGCTGGGATAGGAGGGTGCCACCGTACTTTGTCATACTTGCAGAGGATTCAACACTGGTTGCTAGGTCTAAACCAATTCCAAACTACCCATGCAAGTCATAACCTGACAACAAAAAGCAAACACGTGCTGCATGTGGCGGACCTGCTGAATTCCTGACAAAACTATACTAAAGTCATTTGATGACATTATCACATTATCACCCATCGTTTCTAATTTTTTCTAGAATTTTCCAAATGATGTGAATGGATTGGTTTGAGGAATATTTACAGGAAAGCACGTTTTATTTTTTTAACCACCAAATATAGAGCTTTCCGGTACATGTTCCCATCGTCCCAGGCACAGCAGTTTCAAGAGCCGCGGTTGTGGCGTGCAAAAATCCGTGAAGGACCAGTGCACGTACTGACTGCCTGGCCGCCGGGTCCAGGAGATCCACTCTACCGCCATTGACATCGTCAAAATGTCAATCATTTGGGTTGGTCTGAAAAATAAGGTGCCTCGAAATCCAATGGTTTCTTGTCATTGTCCCATTTAAAAGGACGATTTTGGGGTATACGGTATACCCCCATCGTCAGACGCACTCATTTGACCTGGGATGAATCTCGCCTGTGTTGGAGGTCTTGGCGAAACCTTTTTCCTTTGTCAGGGGGGTCGTGGGAGAAACGGCTGGGAGATGAGGACGGGATCTCGGAGCCACCCAATCTGCAGATTGGCTGGCCTGCTGGGAAAAGGACTGGTCGAAATTTGGAGGCAGCAGTCAGCTGAATGAACTCAAACCCAAAGAATTCGCCGCAATCGGGAGGAAATCTCATGGTGCTCTGATGCGTTCAAAGTGGAAATCACCGACCCAACGTTGTCAAAAACTTCTGCCGAGGAACGTAGAGGACACCAATGGCTACTGCGGGCTTATTGGAATCTCCCAGATTCTGCAGGGCATTAAAGTTCACGAACCTGTGAACGGTGCCGCGGGCGGTCCTGAAAAGGGACTATAGTCAATCATTCAATGACCACTTTCATGGAAGAATGCAACTGCATTTCCATAGTTTGACCACGAAGCAAAGATACATAAACATGCACTGGATGTTGTTTGAACGTATTCGACTTCAAAGCCTTTTCACCATGCATCAGTCCATCCAACCATCACAAACGATGATGGCAATGTTCAGTAGTGGTGCCCCCCGGCCTTTTCCCGATCATCAGTTCGTCCCATCGTTTTGCAGACACCTTGCGACCTGCCACCAGACATAAAACCGGGAATCTCCCCCAGAAAAGGCCCTGGGGAATAAGATTGCTCCCAACAGCCCAAATTCAAAGGGAGGCGAAAATCGCTAGGTAGAAAGGTACAATATGTTTTGCCCCCGTGTGGCTACGATTTACCTATAAGGGGCTGGAACAACCCTTAGAGAATGAGACAAGGCCTCCTGGACTCTGGGGACCCTTCATTCAATCTAGTTCATGTAAATGGTAAATCCATGCGAACCAACACAATACGCAATACTATCATATACTATCGCCATACCTGATTCTAGATTTTGGGTATTTGATAAACTTTAATCACAGAAACATTTTGATGTTTATATTTCCAGTAGTACCGCACAAGGCGGTGGCGGAAGTTTCAAAAATAGGAAACCTATAGGAGAGGTTGGTTGTTGTGAATCACGGATGGCAGAGCGAATCCAGTGATGGACCGAAAGGTGGTTGAGGTCTCCTCTCTTTCTCTCTCTCTCTCTTTCTCTGACGATCTATCTATCTGTCTGTCTGTCTTTCTGTCTATCTATCTATCTATCTGTCTGTCTGTCTGTGTATCTGTTTATCTGCAAGCTTAAAAACGAAGCTATTCTGCGAGACTTTGCACTTGACAACATCAAAAACGAAGCACTTCTGCGCGATTTCCTATTTGCTTTAAAGTTCACAACATCAAAAACGAAGCAATTCTGCGAGACGTCCTTCAAAATGGAAAGTTGAGTGCAGAGTTGACGGCCTCGTACCATTGCGTTTTGTGATTTTTCCAGTCCATTTGTCTAAACTACTGCGCCTGCCACGAAAAAGTGATGCCAGGTCATACGAAGTGCTGCACCTGTCACGCAAAATCATCTCAGCAAACCTGAAGATCTGATGCTCCAAAATGCAACCCCTCTCAGGAAATCAGCGCCCGGACCTCCTAACAGCTCTGATGAACATGTCTCTTGTACTGCGCCTGCCGCGGAAAATGCATCTTTGCAGATCCTCTTCAAATGTCCCACGCTTGCCATCGTTTTTTTTGGAAATGCTACAAAACCGTTGCGTTTTGCTCACTTCTGATAAGGTCCACAATCCCTTGCGCCTGCCACGCGAAACGACATCTGAACGTCCAAAAGTGGTCGGAACCCCTGGTGTTTTTCACATTTTAACTTCGAAATGTGCTTCGCGCCACAACAGCGTGCGCTTTTTCGACATCTCAACTTCTAAACGTGCCCTGAAGCTGGTGTGTTTTGTACATTTTGACTTCGAAATGTGCTTCGCGCCACAACGGCGTGCACTTTTTAGACATCTCAACTTCCAAAAGTGGTCCGAGCATGGTGTGTTTTGTACGTTTTGACTTCGAAATTTGCTTCGCGCCACTGGCTCCGCGCCCGCCGCTTTAGCGAGCCTACTTTTCGACCCTCCGGAGCCACAAATCATTGGAAAAACAGTGTTTCGCGACTTTCCTACCTTTTTGCGCGCCTGCATCTTCTTTCTTCTGACTCTTTCTCTTCTCTGATCTTCTCTCTTCTGCTCTTCTCTCTTCTACTCTTCTCTTCTCTCTGACTCTTCCCATCTCTGCTTTTCATCTGTCCATATTGTCGGAAGTTTGACTTCTAAACTTCAATCGAATATGGTATAAAATCAATCATGAATCTAAGCATCTAAAGTTTTGCATTTTGAACTGCGCTTGTATTAATCCTCCTTGTGACTTCCAACAATTCCGCCAGGCCTTTCAACTTCAAGCCCGAAAATTTCCTGGGAGTGCGTGTCAAATGCAGCAGACCGAAGCGATATGGTTTACAACCGAGGATGGCGGATACATCTGCAATTGGATGGGTTCATAGACCAATCTTACCAGATGGTAATATAGTGAAGTACAGTAATAGATCCCAAGCAGAATGTAGATCAAGAGCTTACAAGGCCGATAACATCTTTTTCCGATGTCAACATATGATCAACCATTCCAAATCAGCCAACGGTCAACATAAACTGTAACCCCAGGAATCTGAAACAATCCTTCCTAAACAGCTAATCAAGCCTTACCAAATCGAATCAACCCGTACCAAACATCTGGTCTAATCAAGCCTTACTAAGAAGTTGATTTAATCTTGCCATGGTTCCCCGCAATCTGATCTGATCAATTTGCCACGCCAAGAATCTCTGTTTCCACATCACCAGCTTCACGGGCTGCGTCAGTCATGGGCCATGGACGTGCGGAAGTTGAACTCTTTCAGCGATTTCTTACAGACCCCGCAGAATCCTACGGGATGTTTCCAACAATCTAGGTAGTGTTCTTTTATGGCATTTAAATGTCCTGATCTCCAAACATCCAGACATCTTTACAATCTAGTTATTGTTCTTTCTTCGCCGCAGCCGTTTCCACTTCTCAGCCCATGATGAAAGGCTTTCCCAAGGAAGTGCAACTATTTTCCCACATATTCATCAAATTGGACCTTTCATATTTCATCATGAATATTCACTCCGGCGGGCCCTTAAAAATCCTGAAATATCGTTTCAGTGATCAAATCCCCACCATTTTTTCATCTAGCTTTGACGGGGGCAGTTTTCATCATGGCTCCAGCCAAAATGGCTGCAGGGATGGACCTTCCACGAGATTCTGAGGGATCCCCAAGCAGATGGACAAATCATTCCCTGTGAAAATAGGATTGAGTTTTTCAGTTTTTCTCCATCGTTTCAGGAATAACCCAATAACTACCCAATCCTTTAAAGGGATTCTCACAATCCAAGGAAATCCTTGGACGGGGAAGCGTGACCGTAGAGAAATCAGTAGCCCATCTGAAAAACACCGGCACCTTTTGAGAACTACGGCTGATGAATGATTCATGAGTTTATGTGGGTAATGGCTAATAATAGATAGATTATGATGTATAAATTATGAATTATATAATGAATCTAAAAAGTAGTGTGAAATAGTATGAATGCTGAATGAGTTGTAGTCATAAATGTCACCTCAGTACATTCATGGCATTATAATAACTCTAACTCTTGTAGCGATTTATCATGGCCACGACTATTCGTTTACAACATGGATAATTGTCACCTACCCTCCCCCAAATTGACCTCGACCCTGCCATGCGTCGGGGGTTGGAAGACTACATACATTCTCAGGGCTTTCCGTTGGTGGGATGTTACTTATTCTGTAGCCCGGCAATGAAACACCATTTATTGACGTTTTCCCCAATTCAGACCTCCGTTTCGTTCGGGGATTTCCCTTAGCCCAGGACGGCGCGGAGAGGGGCAAGTGCGCCAGCACCTGACTGGTTCTGGAGGGAAGAGAGTCAACGACTCAGGCTCCAGGAGCTGTAGCATCAAATGCTTCAAAATCATGGAGCTGCATCACAAACTACCCTTCCCAAATGTAATCTAACATCCTTAAAAAAAGGAAACTAGCACTCCTTACTCCTTGGAAACATCCTTTTCGGATACCGCCTTTAAAAAAAGCCGAGGGCCTCCATTTGGGGCACAAGCCCCTCTGGAACATTGAAACACCCAGCTGTTTCCGCGGGCCTTCAACACATCCTCTGAACCTTGGTGAAGTGTATGGCTGTGACTGATAACTGGGGATACCCTCCAAATCATCAAAAACGAGGGCACACCCAGTTGAAACAACATTTTTCCCCACCTGCCAGGTGAGGGTTGTTAGATTTTATGTCAGTTGCCTCCTCCTCCTCCTCCTGCCTCGTCCTCCTCTCGTCCTCCTCTCCTCCTCCTCCTCTCCTCCTCGTCCTCCTCGTCCTCCTTGTCATCCTTGTCGTCCTCTCGTTGTCCTCGTCGTCCTCGTTGTCCTCCTCGTCCTCCTGCTCAACTGCGACTCGCGATCCACAGTGTTCGCTGCCGGACCTCAACCACGACCATCCACGCCCAGTGTTCCCTGCCGGACCTCAACCACGACCATCCACGCCCAGTGTCCCCTGCCGGACCTCAACCGCGAGTATCCACGCCAAGTGTTCCCTGCCGGACCTCATGTAGGAAGATATGGGACAAAGAATGTGCAGAAGAAAGTTAGAAAGAATGTCAGAAAGAATGTCAGAAGATATGCCAGAAGATATGTCAGAATATATGCCAGAAGATATGCCAGATAGAATGCCAGACAATATGCCAGAAGGTATGCCAGATATAATGCCAGATAGAATGCCAGAAGATTTGCCAGATAGAATGCCAGAAAATATGCCAGAAGATATGCCAGATAGATATGCCAGAAGATATGCCAGAAGATATGCCAGAAGTTATGTCAGAATATATGCCAGAAGATATGTCAGATAGAATGCCAGAAGATATGTCAGAATATATGCCAGAAGATATGCCAGATAGAATGCCAGATTGAATGCCAGAAGATATGTCAGATAGAGTGCCATAAGATATGCCAGATAGAATGCCAGAAGATTTGCCAGATAGAATGCCAGAAGATATGCCAGATCATATGCCAGAAGATATGCCAGATAGAATGCCAAATAGAATGTCAGAAGATATGTCAGATAGAATGCCAGAAGATTTGCCAGTAAGAACATGTATAAATGTCATGGTGGGGATCACACGAAGTAAAGTAATTTTGCGTCAGAGCCAACGGCATTCGATGGATTTGTCCCATCCATTCACACTCACTTCAGTCTTACATGGTTTTAGATGGCTTCAAGTGCTGCGATGTGGCTACTTAGATCTCGGCCATTTGTAACGGCTATCTATACTTTATAACAACTAACATGGCTTGTTCAAACATGGAGAAGATAACTCACCATTGCAATCTTCATATGAAACTGATGATGAACATGATAACCCACAGGATTTGGGGGCACACAATTCTCAGGAAAATCCATATGATGGAGCAATCAATAGTGTGGGAGTACGGGTGATAAATGTGGATAAAACTGATAGGATACAAAGACATAACCACCAGTAGTTTTGTAACATTATTAATTAATTATCCCACATGTCATATTGATATAGATTTTTTCTCCCATGGTATCCGTAGTATATCCCCATTCTTAAATACCTTTTTAAATCATTGTTGTTTATGTTTTATGTTTATTAAAACAACATATATGCATTTCAATCATCGACAACGGTATTTGACAACTGCCTCACAGCTTTGATCTCTGCCCCAGGGCCGCCACTGCAGGAGTCACTGGAAGGATTCAGGTGAGACGCCTGGGATCCATCGGCTCTCCATGACCCAACCGACCTGGGATATTTTATGGTAAATTCCTAGGGAACTGATTAATTTTTTGGGGTCAAAAAATTGAGAGACATCTTCCAATAGATATGAGCAACTAACATCAATATTATCAAGTAATGATACAAAATGACTTGCAAACGATGGATTCCGCTTCAAAATGATTCAAACAAGTTGGTTTACTGGAGGCCACACCCCTAAATTCACACGAAACCCACCCAAGTTCCATATCAAGTCGTATCATCTTCAGGACCTCCACGTGTCAGGTTCCGTGCTGAATGGTGTAGCTTTGGAATGATGGAAAGGACAGCTTTTGATACACATACACACACAACCATATTAGCCCTTCATTCAAGCCGATCATCTCCGATCCGGAAGCTCCTCAATAGGTAACATGTGATCCAGCCAATTCGGAGATCCGCAAGTTTTAGCACGACCAACAAAGATGAAACACTTATATCCAACCAGTTGCAGTATATCCAACAATGAAACTCCTCACTTTACCAGAAAAGAATCCCCGAATGATTAGTACTTCAATGGTAATGAATTTTCCCATCCCATCTGGGACGGAAGCCCAACCATAGCATCAAAATGTTGAGAAACTCCCAGCACCAGGGCGATCTCTGAAGCTCTCCCCAGATGTAAATCGACATAGATTTGCTGGGACTTACCCGAAACAAACATGTCAGGGATGAGAAAAGGAGCATTTCACCAGTAATGAGAATGATTTTCCGGTATTCACCAGCGCTTGGAATCAAAATGGGCATGGGATGGCATGGATCTTCAAGACTCATTTGAGCTGTGTTCAAAACCATGTTTAGTTTATATATGTTTATAAAATATAAAGGAATTCCTGTGATGCACTACGATACTCCACAATATATTGGATAGGATTAGGATATCACCCAACTAATCATCAATCAACAGAGGTGTTCAACGCAGCCACTGCTTGCTTGGAACCGTTGGTTTGGCATCAATAATTCCATTGGTCTGGGTAAATGACAATATTTCACAAACCTGACAAAATGCCATTGGATGTTTGGGGATGATTCCCCTATACAAACCTTACATTCACCATCATTTCAGGTTCGGTCGCAGTGAGGTCGACCCTGATCACCCTTGATTGAACCATAATCTGATATGACTGTAAGATTCCTTAACTAAACCCTAAACCTTAATACTGTAATGGTTCACCAGTTTTGAGGCAGTTAATTATTAAGTCATTCCGTAGCCAATGAATCATGATGATTTATAAACCTCCATTTGTCAGGGTGGTTTTCCGATGGGTTTTCCCATGATTTTCCCATGATTTCCATGGCGCTCCCACCTTAAGGTGATGGGGCTCCCATTCAGCGCCCGCGGCAGTATCGCCACCTCCCTGGCGGTTTCCCCTCTTTTTCGGGACATGTTTTCAATGCACATGGCTTCTAATTCTTCTAATTTCTTCAGGAGCCCGGTCTTTTTGGCTGTTTGGAAGATATGTTTAGGGCAACATTTCCGAATCAATGGTCAAAACATTTTTCCAAAATGCTTTGTGAACCACGTGCCGAATCAACATTATTCAGCATTATTCAACATCCGGTATGTGAGTGAACCTTCATCAATAGATTCAACATTATTCAACATGGACAACCAACATTCAGCCATGGCATGCCATCACCACGTCCCAGTGCCTGCCACCAAGGCTTATCTTCCTTCAGCAGCTGGTTTGGTTTGGCATAGGATGCCCTTTATAGCAAAAATCGACAGGGAGTGGGAACAGGCAGGGCTTTGTGCACCAGAAGGGTATGTGAAACCCACAAAAGAAGTTGGATTGCTAAGACTTGATTGGATCTTAGAATCTTTGATTGGATTTCTTAATGCTAAATTACTGTGTATGCAAATTGCGTTGAGACTTTGGCCGGGATATGGCCCCTTTTTATACAGATTTTCTATAGGATGTCCCGTTGTGGCAAGCCCAATCTAAATTTGCAATTTGGGACGTGTAAAACAAAAAGGCATGTGCAAAAAGAAGGTGGTTTATGAATGGGTTTGCTATGGTTTGCTGATTAAATGACCGACTTGCGAATTTCATCAAAACATTCTGCCTCTTGTCCTTCAGCTACTTAGCTACATAAAGGGCGAGTGTCCTTCTATTCGCCATCAAGCACGCATCAACACTAGACATTTGCTGAAAAATGAAGGCAAGTGTGGTCAATGCCCCAAAATCAATAGACACGGCTGTTTGAATAGATTGGAATCCCTGCAAAAAAGAAATCATGGGTTTTCAATCCAGGGTTGACTAAAATGTGTACATGTGTCCAAATGCCCCAAACATATGGCATATTTACCAACATCTACCCCACAAATGGCCCAAATGCACTTAATCTACCATACATGGTGCATATTGGGATATATGATTCCTATGAAAAACATCGTTATTGGAATACTTTCGAATAGAATATCCTCCGGTCATCAAACATGGCAATTGGAAATCCCCGAACTGCCCGAGCTAGCCATGGAGGTTCAGCTCGCTGGGAAAATCATCGAATCATCGAAGTGTAGCTGGATGGTTTTCCAGCAAACCACGGAGCTGATGACCCAAGGGTATAACTAGGCGACCTCAGGTTTATGGCAATAAATATATACATTTAAATATAAATATCTATATCTATCTCTCTCTCTCTCTATACATATCTATATCTATATATATCTTTATTTATCTATATATATATATGTCTATATATATACAGCACCCGACAGAAATATGGAAAAAAAAGACGTTTCAATTTACAGGCGCCGCCTGTCTATGATAGAAAAGTTACGAACCTTTTTTTTTCTCCATAATTCTGTCGGTGACTGTATGTCCATCGATTCGCAATTTGAATGCATTTTAAGGGGGAATATTGAATTATAGAAAATATGTGTCTAAAGATCTGGTATATGCCCTAAGTCTTCCATTGATATTCAATTGCACCACCAAAACTCATTGTTGTACGTACATACATATGCGGGATGTATCCTTTTGCCAAGCCACCAATTGGGTTGATACTACATACTTGCATTTGCATACATATTTCCATAACCCCCGAAAAAAAGGGGTTTGAATTGTGGATCCATGACATGTCCAACAGGTGGAGCCCCAAACATTAATTATGGAAAAAATAATTATGGAAAAAATATATGGAAAAACCGGTCAATCTGCCCTAGCCCCCTGATTTTACAGGAAAAATCAATTATGGAAATATGGCCACCTCCAAGAATTATGGAAAAAAAAAGGTTCGGATCACTTCCGGGATATGTTGAACCCTTATGGGGAAAAACACAATTATGGAAAAATCGGACGCAGGCGCCGCCTGTCTAAGTTGAACGTTTTTTTTTCCATAATTCTGTCGGTTACCATATATATATATCTATATTTATCTATATATATCTATATTTATCTGTATATATATATATTTAAATATATATTTATATTTCTACATCTATATCCCTATATATATATACTTTTATTTGTATGCATATATATATATATATATATCTGTATATATACATATATATATGTATATATAAATATATATAAATCCATATATATATATAAATAAATAAATATATATATATATATATCTGTATTTATCTGTACATATATATATATATCTATATCTACATAGATATATTATATATTTAAAGTCTACATCAGTACACTTCCATGGGTTTATAAACCCATGAAATTACATGCGGAACCAGGCACCTCCTTTTGATCCCTTCAAGGTCCAAGGTGCAGGATGTGTTTCCTCCCGCCGATGTCGCATCTCCTGTCTGCGATCCGAAGGGGCTGGTTGCTGGGATGGTTTATTAATTTTAATCCAGGGTTAATAAAACCCTCAGTCCATTGGTAAGGGTGTGGTACTGTACCAAGTAGCAATTATATAAAAATTGTAAATAAATAAATAAATATATATATATATATACACGATTGTCTATGTATAGTAATTTATCATACGTTATCACTATTGTGAAGGGGGATAGTCAGGGCTCAGTCATCCGTTACTACAATATCCTAATCATTCACCTGCTATGCCATTGAAATCTGCGACTTTGCCTCACTTCTGGCGCGCGAAGCGTGTCTGATCCAGAGGCGTTCTGCCTGCGACATTGTGCCGCTGGGCCATGGGCTGCACGAGTCGGCGACTAGTGGACATAGGCGAACCATGGAAATATCTCGAAATCAAGGCAATATCTGTGTGTAGATGAGAAGTGTGAACACTGAACAGAAAAAATGACCATTTCAGAAGCCCCGTGGCTTTGGGGTATGCCAAAATTTGGCATAACTGAATCATTTGAAGTCTATGGGTATATATATATATATATCTATATAAGCATCGCTTTATCTTCCCCCGACCTCTGGCACTGCCGCATCTGACAGGAAGGCCTACGGAGCCAAGCGAGCCACTACGACGTCCAGATTTCTGCACTATTTACGTCTATTTACGGTTGACATGTAGTGAACGCATACAATGCCCCTTCAAAAATTAACAGCCAACTGGAGATTCTGCTTTTGTATTGAATCTAAAATCAAGGATGGAACTGAATTGAAAATGCGGTGATGACCCCAGGCTGCACGCCCGGCCTCTTGTTGCAGCCACACGTGGAAATTGAACTGGTCTTGGCCCTCGGCCGCCTGAGCCAACCCATTTGCAACGTCCGGAACTACAACCTCCCCGCTTGTGGGTCAAATCTATGTATCTCTCCATCAAACTTGACAAACAATCCATGTGTGTACAGATATACAGATATGTATATACATATATACATATATATATATATAAATATATATATATGTAGATCTTATTATCTACACATATATATATAATTGTATATATATATATATTTGGGGGACAACCTTCCAAACCTAGACACTTCCAATCTTGCAGTTCTTATTGCATCTGTCCAGGAACCCAGAGGGAAAACAGTCGCAAAGCTCTGTTGTGTCTATCGCCTTAAGCTCATCTCCTCTCTGGGAATGTAACGTAGCTGTGGAACATCACCCGTTTTTGAAAACGGCAAGTCCTTTTTTCACCATGACTCATGATAAGTTGGAGTTTCTACAGGAAATCATAATGGATGGTGATTGCTACTTTATTAAGAAAATAACCAGATAAGATCACCCAAAATCTTATCCTCTATCATCTTAAGGAAAATAACCAGATAAGATCCCCAAGAAAAAATCCTCCATGGCCGCCCCGGTCAACCGGGCTCCCTGTCGATCTTCTCATTGGCCGCTTCGGCGTTGGGTGCCACCACGCAGACCTCGGGCCCGGGCTCCCTTTCTCCAGGCCCAGCATTTCGACCATTTCCTTTCTATTGGAGGAATTCCGCCCCCCAGAAAAAACTGTTGCTATCACATGATTCTTTTTTGGTCCAATTCCGAACATCAAAAACTTTGATTTGTTCCCGGAAACGCTCCCTTTACCAAAATTTGACTGCTTACCCAATCTAAACTAACATTTTTGTGGAAATCCCGCCACTTGTAGATCATTTTCCTCGGGAAACCATGGCTTTTCCACATCTAGGTTACTTTACCCTAGGGTAAGCCATCCATTCTTTTTTGGCAAATTCTCCAAACAACTCGCGATATCTCATGCCAAGACGCGGCCAAATCTTCAATCGCTGCCAGCACGGCTTCAGGTAGTACACCTTGGGACAACTTCTGTGCTCCTGCCAGGGCAAGGGGCGTCTGCTATGGGAAATATAGAAGGTGATGTATCCTCTGGTAATCAAAAATGGCAGTGAGAAATCCACCGTGTTGGATGTTTTTCCCAACAAAACCTCCATTTATTGGGGATTTTCCATTGCCACGTTTGATTACCGGACTAGAAGATTGGTGGATAACTGATAACCATCAGCCAATGGGATTTGTAGATGTGTGGACCCAGCATGGTTGATGTGCTGGGTAATTGCAAATAAACATGGGATGTTAACCAACAATGAGGGTTTGTGGGATGCAACTGGCATACAGTACATAAACATAATCAATGCGATACGTTGGTTTGTCAAAAAATAAGGGGTACCCATAAAATTTCAGTTTTAATGAGGACAATGATAGTAAACTGCTAAATCATGATACGCTACCAAGTTTTGGGGTAATGTATTTTATAAGTTGAGCCAGGACCAATTTGCGTCATAATAAAACTTGGGGAAAACATATGGATTCTATTTTCTGTAGTCTCTGGACTGAACTTGATGTGGAATTTCCCTCCTGCAAACAGTGAGTGATGATGTAACGCCCTATGAGTTGCAAAGGGCTGCTATTGGGAGTCTCCTGGAAAACCATCATCAAATGCATTAAAACTCAACTGCCAGGTGGGAACCTCCCAGCAACCCCACGATCATTTCCCCTATATATGTATATATATATACACATACAAAATGTCTGTTTCGGGCATCTGATGGCTTCTGACTAGCCAAGCATGAAGAATGACACTTTAACACTATCTTGTCTAACAATCACAATCTCAGTTTGGAAACAAGATGAAACAAATACGCTGTACAATCTTTCTTCTAGATGTGGGCCAACTTTGGTCGCCCAAAACTGGATTGGCTTGAAGGAACCTTTGCAGGCAATCCTGCTTTTTCCAATTATACACGTGGTTTCCAGATGTTTCCAGTGAATCCATCAAAACATACATCATTCATTCGAAACTTGCTTCAATATGCTTCAATGAGCAATAGGTCATAAGTCCATCAGCAACATATCCTTGCCCTCCGGAAATCCACCGTGGCTGGCAAATCTCCCATTCATAGTGACATTTCACCAAAAAAAAATATTTATACGGGATTTTTCCCAAGGGGAATCATCCTATTGGTGAATATATCAAAAAAAATCCAAAACATATGATCTTACTGATCTTACTATGGTTTTATAACGTTTTATAACCATTAACTATGCTTAACCATGAACAAACAGTATCTACCAACGGTGAATCATCCGGCGGCTTCCATTGGCTCGCTGGCTCGCCCCATGCCGCCCGCCGGGTGCCTTCCGGGGCCAAGGCCTCGATCGCCGTTTTCAACCTCGGCCATCATGGATGGTGATCAATTAACTATGATGGTTAGGTTGCTATCACTAATATGATAGGTGATGTAGGTTAGCAACCTAACCATCATAGTTAATATCAACATTGGTGATGTATGTTAGGTTACCAGCATTAGTGGCTAGTTTGTGATTCAACATCATATGATAGGTTGATTTAGGTGAATTTATGATGTTGAATCACAAACTATCTACTAATACTAAAAGTAGGTTAATATGATGTTGAAAATAACTACCTACTGAAAAATATTAACACACTCCACCTTGGGAGGAGCTTCATTGTGCATACCTGGTCTCAATCTATAGGCCCTTTTTCATCCTTGCTGGGCTTGTCCGGCAGATCGTGCTGCAACACGTGCAACAAGGTGGCCCAGCCCTGGCGTCAGCTGTCGTGATCAAGGTACATGGGATTGGGCCATGGTCATCCGACCATGAACTTGTGAATCCTTATGGTGGCCACCATCAAAATCATCAAATCCCTAGGATTATTCAGGGTGGTATGAAAATTCACGAATGGTAAATCAGCCAACTTTGATCATGGCGCATATGCATGCATATGCTAGATACACACTGCGAACTACAATCGCCATGTACTCATTGAAAATTTCACATCAGTGATGAAAAAGACGCCTCACACCGTGCCTTCACCAAATGTCTGAAGTCCAAATATCGCTCAGGCCTTTGCAAGACCTCAGGTGCAAAAACTTTGTCCACATGGGGCCAGCCACAAGACCTTCATCTGCCGTCCTTTTTACAACGTTAAATCGCACAACATAGGCATGCCAAAAGTTGCATTTTTTCCAACAGGAAATTCCTCTTTGGAGACCCAACCATTTCCAACCCCATCTGTTCATAAATAAATGTACCTGTGCAGTACAATATATACATATATACATGTGCATACATCTTTTTAAAGCCAAACTTCCAAATCTTAATCTAAGTTTGTCCAGATATGGGGGATACCGGATACCCCGAACTTGTAAATTTCATGGGGAAAATGATGTTATCAACCGGTGATGAAGGCTGAACAAAAATGACGATTTCAGCCAAATTTAAACCAAACCACTTCCCAAATTTTCATCGCCATCCCCTCACTCCACCAACCTTCATTGGGTTCAATTACTGCATATATAATTCTGAAATATTCATGCAGATTCTACCAACATTTACCAACTTTTTGGCTGATTCCAGCGTCGCCCGGGGCGCCCGGCGTAGCCCAAGGACTTGCAGAGCACTTTGCCTCCGTCCATCGGCAGCGCGGGCCCAGTGATGCGAGCCCAGGCTGCGCGGGGCCTGAGGTGTTTTTGGGACACAAAAGAGATGGAAAGACATAATTAATCATCAAACATCTACCAAGTTGAAGTCATATCTTTTTCTGAGTGTTTTTTGGTGACTATATGGTGGTCTTATATTTTCCTTTTTACATCAACAAGATTGAAGTGGATTCCCACATGAAAAAAACAACGAACCACATTCCATATGCTCTACAGTGATTTATCCATTTGTTGGATCCTAAAATAATCCCAGTCCCCAACCAATGAAACTGGGGAATTTCAACGAGGGAAAATCATCAAACAGTGATTTTTTCTACGATGACAGAACGCAAATCCCCAATTTCAGAAGAAAATTGTGGAACGCAAGCTGCAAATGCGCAGAACATCTCAAAAGAATGATTTCCAACTGCCACTGCCAGGTTAGATTACCAAAGGCTTATATGAGTCAAAGAATAATACCAAGTGCAAGACTGCAGAAACTTTGGCCATCGCCCTAGCAATTGTCACATTTTTATTGGCCCTTTCTAGTTACACTGCTTTTCCACATCTTAAGTGGTGTCACCATCTCGAACTCTTCATATTTCCCTCCATCTGCAGCATCCGTGGACCCCTCAACCCCCGCCTGGCATGGCCTTCTGACACAGTGAACTCCACTTCCTGTCCCACTGGCGGCCTCGATTTTTCCAGCTACGGGTCGTCCTTGGGGATGGATGGGATGGTACTTCGGAACATTTTTCAACCACCATCCCCTCCAAGTAGAATGATTACCGCCAAGTTTGGAGAGAAAAACAACTGCCTGATAACTAGCCCGTCAGCCATCGCAATACCAAATGAATCCAAATGACCATTCGTAGCTCTTGGGTCCTAGTGACATCCAGGTGGACTCCCCCGCCCCCAACCTCTGGGGATCCCTACAAACCCGGCAAGCCCGGGAAGTCGTTGGGCTTCTGTCCTTCAAAGGTGCTCACGTGGACGAAAACGTCCAACTCGATATCCTCAGGCAACAAAAACCGATGGAAATCATGGAGCAAATCGTGGTTTGGCTGGTGAACATTAAAATTTGAGGGTGATTTGACCAGCGAATTTTAGGCTTCAAGATGACATAACCAGTAAGAATGGGGATTGAAATTACACAGTAACAGTGATGAGCCAACCTGATTCAGATCAGCAAAAATCACACATACAGATAAACTATGCGCAAGTTCTTGGACTGGAATTCTGTTCCCGGCATGTTTGGTCTCCATTAATACAAGGTGGTGCTACCCAAGACGTTAGCTAAGTTGGTTGGTAACTAGATTAATGGTTGGGTTTATGGTGGATATATCTCTAATGTCTATAGGTAATGAAGTTATTTGAGGGTTCAGAAACATGGCTTGATAAACCAGCCAACATTTCACTGCTGCGCCGGCCTGGCCTCGAGCGAGATAAAACCAAAGCCCTTCTCCTAGGACGAGAGCATCGGAGCCCGGCAATGGTTTTTTTTGATGATTTTTGTCCAGAATGCATTGGAGATTTCACGATAGTAACATATAGTAGCCCTCAAACGAGTAGAAACGTGATTTATCACTAGTAGGATTTTGCTTTTCAATCTTTTTTTTGGATTTCACTTACAATATGGCGATGATGAATCTGGTTTTCATATTTTGCTTCCTAGACTATCAGGCTGTACCACCATCAGACAGGCTCATGGCCACCATGATTGTTTGCCGCAGCCGAGGAGCCAAGAGAAAGGACCTCAAGCGCCCTTTCTTCACTTGCTCTGGAGCAGCTGTCATCTGACCAAATGCTGGGGCTTTCAATGCACATTGCCAGTCAAAAGAACCTAGGCATGTCTTGTTGAACATCATGGGAGGTTCATACTCAAGAGCTCACATATGTGGTGCCTCGGGTCCCAAATTTTGAACCACACCCATTTTGAAATGGTGTCAGCTGAACAGAATCCATGAAGTTCAGCAATTTGGTCAATGATAAATCATTCCTTGACCATGTCTCGAACAATGCTGTCTTGGGTTGAAGGATTTTCAAACCCCATACTTCAACACAGCTGAATAGAACTGAATCAGAAGAAGATCTGGCAAAGAAACCCGTGAAATCCATCCTGAAATCCAGAATTTCTGTTCCAACCTCAAATCTTCCAACCCTGCGGCTGCACCTCTCCGTTCCTCCGGGCGCCAGTGCCACTCTCTGCCACCGGTGGTGGCGGAGGGGGTGGCACGACCTGAATCAAGTGAGAAGCTCCAGACAAGCGAAATAGGAAAATACCCTCCTGTAAACTAACATGAATGTGGAAAAGCCGCCACGACTTGTATATAGATACTCTTCCCACCGAAACCATACGTATTTTTCATGTTGGATTACCCCAACGTATATCAAATCATGAAAAACTATGCTCGTAAAACCAATGCAAGTGGACGATAGCAGCAACAATCTGATATCGATCACCCCTAAATATACATATGCACACATCTGTAGACATCGTGCATGGATAAAATCTCATAATATCCATCTCCCTAAATGGAACCGCCAATATCACCATTGGCAGGTTCAGCATCTTGAGGATTGCTTGACATTGGCCACAAAAGTCCTTCTCCCTCCCTGCCCGGAAACTGACACTCGGCATATCTGCAATGCGAAAAATATGATCGAATTAGCCTCTGGTAATCAAATGTGACTAGCTGGGAAACCCATGAAAATCCCCTGTAGATAGGCATTCAAACGGGAAAATCATGGAACTTTTTCCAGCCACGTTTGATCACCAGAGGGTACTCCAAGGCGATTGGTTCGACCCCTCCCAAAGCTGCCAATGACTCCGTCTGGCAAATCACACTGTAACAGTTGCCAAAAACCCTAAACGTTCGGGCATTCCAAGTGGTTGGTTTCTGAAGCCTGTCAACTTTTTGGATCGGAATCATCTACCCGTTTGGCGATTTTCCATCGCCGCGTTATATCACTGAAAGGTATGTTAGCATTTACATTCAATTACCCTCTGGCAATTTAACATAGCTGTGGACATCTGTGGACAATCACCAATTTTAGGTCAATCATGGTAAATTAGCTGCTATAGCTATGGACAATCACCAATCTTTATAGGTAAATAATGGTAAATCCTCATCTACAAATGGTTCATGGCTTCCAGTTCGCAAACTGTAAGAAATTACCAGCGGAGCTGCCTCGGTCCGGGAGCTTGGACTTGCTGGAGCCTCCGCGCAGCTTGGTGAGTTCTGTGATTTATGGGGGATGGAACTATAATTCATGGTTATTTTCCGCAATGATCCATTCTTATCACCAAACAGGTCGATGTGGATAGACACTAGCCGCATTATGTAACCAGCACGGTGCCCATTTAAACATATACCCGTGTATTTACCCTCTAGAAAATCCCCTCTCAATGGACGTTTCTAGGAAAAACCATGCAAATTAACACACACACATACACACATATACACACATACATACATACATACATACATACATACATACATACATACATACATACATACATACATACATACATACATACATACATACATACATACATACATACATACATACATACATACATACATACATACATACATACATACATACATACATACATACATACATACATACATACATACATACATACATACATACATACATACATACATACATACATACATACATACATACATACATACATACACATACATACATACATACATACATACATTACATACATTTACATTACATACACATACATACATACACATTACATACATTACATACATTACATACATTACATACATTACATACATTACATATACATACACATACATTACTACATACATTACATACATTACATACATTACATACATTACATACATTACATACATTACATACATTACATACATTACATACATACATACATACATGCATGCATACATACATTACATTACATTACATTGCATTGCATTGCATTGCATTGCATTGCATTGCACTGCATTGCACTGCATTGCATTGCATTGCGTTACATACATACATACATATAATATACACATACCTATATCTATATCTATCTCTATACAGTATCTATACATAATGTACATTTTAATAGGTCGTTTTCCGTTGCTACCTCAGGTTCTAAAATCTAAAATCTCGGGGGCTATCCCCACCTGCGGTGGCGGTCTGGGAGCCGGAGAGGCTGGGGATGTAGGGGATGTGTCAGCCTGCGGTGGTTGAATCTCAGAACTGCTGGGGAAAATCCACATTTCATGGGGAAATGCCTTGTAAATGGATGATATAAATTGGAGGTTTTCATGGGAACATCATCGAATTACGAATTATTTTTTGGTTGATTTTCAAATTACCGCGTTGGATTGCCAGAGGGTAAAGATTTTCCTGACGATGTGCCTTAAACATGAACTTTTCTTGGTGCTGGAAACCTAGGGGATGCAACCAAAAATACCAATAGATTTCAACTCCAAACAGTCAATTTTAAGAAATAGAATCCTGAAACTACGGATAAGGGCCAAGCCCTTCAGAACTCCAATCAAGTAAAAATGAAATGACAGAGTTACCCTCCGGTACTCAAACATGGCAAGCTGGGAAATCCCCGAACTAAGTAGAGGTTTCAATGGGATTTGAATCCCGAGTGGAACCTCTCAAGGCTGGAAAAAGAGGATAAACATCTATACATGGTACAACATGGTACTAAACCATGACCAACATTTCCTTTTTCGTCTCATTCGCCAAGAATCTGGTCTCCCCACCACCAGCACCTTGGGGGGTGGCGGTGCGGCCTGGCGATGGGACCCCCATAACCCTATTCCGCGCGGGAAGCTTCTGGGAATAGGGGTGCAATATGGTACCATCAGTGGGAGATAGTGGGAGTTCCCATAAATTCCATGGGCAATTCCAAGATGCACCATGAATCTGGTCTAGAATCTGTGAGCTGGTTGCAGCACCCGCGGCCTCTGGCTCCGGCAATTTCATCTTGTTGGAGGCCTAGCTGGTCTGGAAATTTGCAAGAATTCGGACTTGGACGTTGGCAAGACTTGGAGCATTTCCAGCTGGTTTTTTTCAGTAATCCCCCAATAGGGACAGATGAAGTTTGTCATTTTTTGAGTGTGTACACGTTCTCATTTCGGTCTCCGTCATAGGGATAGATGATAGGAAGAACCAAAGCACACATGATTTAGATCCATCTTTTGGAACGTACCCTCTGTCTGGTAATTCAACATAGCTATGGACAATTGCCATGTATAGATGATTTACCTATAACAATTGGTGATTTTCAATAGATATATCAAATTACCGGAAGGTATTTTTCCAGAAATGACCCTGATGCTGCTAAGATCTGCTAAGGAATGATGCCTCATCTCATCACAAAATTGCTGTTCATGGCACCTTCTTCAAAGCGCTGCCAGAGCCAGCATCCAAAACCTACGCACAAATGCAAATGGTCGCACAAATGAGCCAAGGCTCATAGCTACTTACGAAATGGCAATGCGTTTAAAACATGTTTGATCGTATGCGTCTGTAATACACAATACACAGATACTTATATCTATATAATTCCCCTTGCATCCCTTGTAATATTGCTTCCAACCTGGGTGTTGTCATTTATATAACCCTTATGAATCCCCTCTGAGAACGCCACCCAGGTTGATAGATTCCATGAGGGGTTGAGTCCAAGCGCTGGAACTGGTGGGAATTCATGGTTCACCGCGTTGAAGTGAACACTTACCCTCCAGTAAATTAACAAAGACCCGGCCAAGAGGTGCAACTTGGAAGATGAGTTTCCACTAAAAAAAATGCCAAGTTCAGGGTCTATGTTAATTTAGTGGAGGCTATTGTATTTTATGTTCCTAACTGCTAATTTGGTTATATGTGAGATCCTAACTGCTAATTAGCAGCTACTGGTTCCATTAATTAGTGTCCCGCTATCTGGGCGCAGTCAATTGGTTGCATTAAAAGTTCATGGATGCGCTGCATTTTGTACCATCAAATGGCATCAAATACCGCATTCATATGCCTCGATATCTTGCCCCCCCCCAAAAATGTTTGGAATGAACCCTCGGACAATTCATCTTTCTTCACCCTTCATCGTCTTCAAAAGGCTTCATACGCATGAAATGGGTGTATATAACTTTAACCCCCCAAAAATCAGGTGGTTCTAGAATGTTCTACTGTAAGAACATTTCCCAGTAAAGTCACATTTTCATACATTTTTGGTGTAGCCAAAATCATAAAAAACTGCCGCCTCAAAGACTGCAGGCGCTACCGGCACTGCGGGCGCCAAAGGTTTGGGTGCTGGTGGAGCTGGCGCCTTTGCATCCTGGGATCGTCGCATTTAGTGGATGATAACCCCAGGGTTATTCCATTTATATATAAGGAGTTGGGGTTATCATCCACTTATTGTATTCCATTTATTCCATTTATTCCATTTATTCATTTATAGTTGTGAACTTGGTATATCATGCTCATACTGTATGACTATAGACTATTGGACTGCTAAAAAAACCAAGAATTGAATTGACATTTTGCTATGGACTCTTTCTTTCTTTCTCTGTCTTCTCTGTCTTCCCTGTCTTCCCTGTCTTCTCTGTCTTCTCTGTCTTCTCTGTCTTCTCTGTCTTCTCTGTCTTCTCTGTCTTCTCTGTCTTCTCTGTCTTCTCTGTCTTCTCTGTCTTCTCTGTCTCCTCTATCTCCTCTATCTCCTCTATCTCTATCTCTATCTCCTCCCTCCCTCCCTCCCTCCCTCCATCCCCTCCATCGCTGCGGGGTCACCCTGCCCTAGCTGTGCTAGGAAGCAAGAAACAGGTACACACATAGCGCCGAAGAGCCAAGCACTGTGTAGTTGAAATCGCAGAATTTCCATGGTTTATAGTTTTTTTTGATGTTTTCTTTTGTGATATTGGGGGCGTCAGTGAAAATTGGCGCCAATCCTGCTACTTTTCCAAGCGGCTTGAGGTCATTTGATGGGAAACATTGGGGTGTCATGAATGCAGTCTTTTGCTACCGGCTGGTCTATGGGGTCCTATCATTATAACATTTGGGGGGATGAACGTCCATGAATCCCAGCCATGCCTTCGTCCAGTTGTCACAACCAGCCCAGGCCTGGCTGACACACAATTGGGCTTTTGCTGCGAAGCATCTTATTTTGGTGCCTCAATGAAGGATTCATGTGGAGAACTGTGGGGAATATCCAAACATGCCCGAACCAACTGAGGATCTACACACGCTCCTTGCTGATGTCTGCAAATCGGAGACCAAATCGGCTACACCTCGTAAAGAGCACCACAGGCCCCCGAAAGTGCAACCATTAAATATGCTGCCTTGCACGCAGAAGCTCCTCGACCTCAACCGCAATCACGAGGGCGACAGGATGAGGGCAAATCCACTTACATAATAATATATATATATATATATCTATATATGTGTGCATAAATAAGTAAATAAATCAATAGATGAAAAAATAAATAAAAAGATAAATAAATAAATAAAACAATAAATAAATAAATAAATAAACAGAACAGGGGACTGTGAGAGTGCGCTTTTTGCACTCCTCTTTACACATTCTCTGTTTTGACATATGCATTGACTGGCAAGAAGAAAAAACGACAAATGACAAGACGGGCAAGGATGCAGATCGGATTTGCAAAATTTGACTAAGAGCCTAAAGAACTTCTAGTAGGTCAAAGGTCAGCAAAACCAAAAAACAACAAAGAAACCAAAAAACAAAAAAACAAAAAAAAAACAAAAAAACAAACCCTATGTCTGAGGCACTCTGGCCCAGTAGGTCTTCTTGGTTTTCTTGTTTTTTTTTGTTTCTTTAGCTTTTTTTTGGTTTTGCTGACCTTTGACCTACTAGAAGTTCTTTAGGCTCTTAGTCAAATTTTGCAAATCCGATCTGCATCCTTCGTTGTGTCAGTTTCCACATGTCGGCATGAAGGAACCCTTCGTCAACAAGAAAATTAAATTCTTAAGAGGGACCTCTCTGAACAAAAAAATCAAAATTATTTCGTTTTTTGGGGTTGGCTGGGGTGGAAATCAATTTTTTTAATTTCCTGACAGTAAGGTCTAATTTCCAATTTTCTGGAGGTGGTGGCTCTGTTTGTGTAGTTTTCTTCTGAGCAAGGAGTGCCACCCTTTTTTTTTTTTCAAAGGAATGAACAAATATATTGCATCCTTTTCAAGGAAACTTGCATAAAGGCATGCTGCACTGTGGTCTCTGAAAGAGCAACTGCTTATTGAAGAATATCCTTTCAAAATAATGCTATATTTTCTGCAAGGAACACTATACTTCTTCAAATGGAAATTCCATGCATTGCACTTTCTTACAGACACATCACCCTCTTTCAAAGGGATTGTTGTATATATGAAAGGGTTCCCTTTTGTACAACAACTTAAATCACACCATACTCTGCCATACTCTTTCACTAGGACTGCTGTGTGTCTTGAAGGCTACTTTCTCAAAGGGATGCTACATACTTTTGAAAGGAATATTGTGTGTAACTGTATATAAATATATATAGTTAATAATATCATACAGTGAATTATGTTATTTGAAAATTAAATTGTATGTTCCAAATGAATAATATTGTTTTCGAAGTAATATGGCATAACATCGTTGTTTAAATCAATATTTCATGAAGCCATCAAGTACCGTCTGAAAGGAATGCCGCTTTTCTGAAAAAAAGCGAATGTATATGCACATTTTATCTTAAGGAAATGATACCCTTCTCCAAAAGGACTACTACCTCTATGGAAGGAATTACACATGTTCATTAAAATATATGGAAGACAAAACGCACTTGTTTTAAAGGAATGCTATGCGCATCTCAGGGTCTTTCTTTACACTTTCTCAAAGGAATGTTGCCCCCTCTGTAGAAGAATGTTGCATAGAGGCATGCCATAACTTCCTCAAGAAATGCCACATTCTTTCAAATTTTCAACGGTGACTTATGAGAAGCATGCAGTTGCCCTTAGAATCTGAGTTGATGCTGTACTAGGGTTCAATAACACAACATTTTTCAAAGGAACAATATGCCTACCATAGCAAAACATTCCATATCTCTTTATGTAGGGAGCTCTGTCAGGAAGATGCAGTACTGCTTGGGGACAAAATGAAATCTTCTGTCAATCAAAAGTGCTGTTTCCTCTTGTTCATGCTTGCTATAAAAACCTGCAACATAGAAGCAAGCACAACCCTATCATTTGAGCATGGCGCAACAGGGCAAAATTGAATTTTCTCTCTGATATTCACTGGCTAAATGACATAGAATCGTTGATAGCGCTATTTAGTTTCTCGCTGTGCATGTGCAATATGTTTTGATTCTTGTGACTCAGCTGGATGAAATTTTGAGGTATGCATATATATATATATATCATATAGGTGGGATCTTGGAGCAACATCGCTGGCAGATATATGAGATCTTGATGCAACATCAGTGCAAAAAACGCACTCTCACAGTCCCCCGCTCTCTAAATAAATGAATAAATAAATAGATAAATAAATTTAAAAAAAACACATACACACGCCGTTTCTTCCTGCAGATTTGAACACTTCCACTTGCTTGGCGGAAAATTGGGTTGTGACATGATGACCATATAAGACCATGAAGAAATGGGGACCTAAGCATCAAACAATGGTTACTGTAAATGGCAAGTAAGAAAACTGAGGGTCAACCTTGAAGAGTCATGGGCCGAAAGGATGATTCAATCAGCGAAGCGGAACATTTTCTCAACAAACGTCAGGATGTGATCTTAAAACCAGGGGCATGTTTTAAACAAATCAACTTTCACCCAAGTTGGGAACCTCTCAGTAATGGTAGCTCCTTTGGCTCCCCATTTGAGAGACACTATGGAAGATGGATACCATGGATATCCACAGCTCCCAACCCACGCGTTGGATCCCATTCTGCCTGAAGCAGCTGCTGCCACGGCCTGGCATCCAAGCGTTGGCATCTCTCCCTTAGAACAAGCATCCCACACCAACCGGCTCCGGCTGCCCAGATATATTTTGATCAAACCAGCGGCCCTGACGGCACTGGTGGCCCCAGATCAATCAACGAACATGGTGACTTCAGTGGAACGTCTGCAAACTTCCACGCTTCTGCGATCTCCTTGTCCACAGCTTCCACTTCAAGATCTGTGCAGCTGAGGGTTGGGACGGGCTTTCTGAATCAACAACGGCTTGGAAAATGAGTTTTCTCGTCTGATTCCTGGAGCTAACACGCGATTCCCATCATCTTTTCTTGCTACTTGCAAATGACGGTTTAGTTTAAACACTAACTTATCACTTGTGGGTCTGGTTGATGGCATCATGCTTGGAACAATGGCTGGACAAATGGCTGGAAAGGCGTGAAGCTCAAGTACAGCAACTTAGTTGTCATCAACGTGCTAGAGCCAATAGTAAACCATCTCCAGTTTGGGTTTATTATGATTATTATGGTCTACTATTGGAAGATTTGGCTACATGAATCCGAACAACTAACGATTTCAATTTGCAACAGAGTTTTACACGTTTTATGTGTGGACAATGCCCACTCGCGTTTGGTGAAACCAAAATGGTTTCACCAATTTGGCAACCCTGCACCTCGGTTTTGTGCCGCCAAACTGCGGCGCAAACCCAAGAGGGCCCAGCCACACTTCCTAGGCTCCAAAGGAATGAACATCGGTGATTCATCCCAGAATATTGGGAATTTATTGGGGTGTGCCTGAAGATATGGTCCTCCTAAATCCACTGGTGAATCATCACACTATCATCCCTATTATATAAAGTAGCAATTTGAGAGGTATGTGACACACCCACACACACATACCCATTTGGATTTATAAAACAAACCTTAGGACGAGTTATTGTGACCACACTTATCAAAGGATTGATGAAGGTGCAGGACACCATATTTTTACTATATATCTTGTTTTTTTCTGTCCCGGGAAGGGGGTAGGACCTGTAAATTTCGTTGAAAGCAATCCGAATGACATCATCTCTTGAGGCAGTACCAGGAAACGGAAACATGGTGAGATAACCAACAGAAACTGTCGTTGAACCAAGGGCATAAGACCATCAAACAAATATGGTGGTTTAACCAACACAAAAAGATACAAATAGTAATTTAATGAACACACAGGGCTATAAATAAGCACGCATATCAAGCATGTTGATTTTCACTGAGAAAAATCGGCTTACATGTTTTAAGCAACAACAGAAGAATAAATAAAACAGCGATTAAACCTACAATCAGAGACATAACACATGTCGGATACGACCATGAAGGTTGAAACCAAGAATGCAAACAGTGGCAACAACAGCTATCCGGGCCAAATAGGCCGACCACCTCATGTTGCAGGACATGGTTTTAGATGTTGGTTTGACTTTGCCAACTACCATTGGTCCAGCCGGAGTTGTCGCATGCTGATTCCAGCGCGCTTATCATGCAGCCCCTTTGCCAACATTACTGGTGGTCAACTTTTCCTAAAACTGGCTTCTATCCATCTAAGGCGGTCAAAGGGCTCCTCATCGAAAAAACGGATGGCTGGAACATGGGATGGAAAGCACGGCATCCGCAAATCCATCATTTTTCTTGGGAGATCTGCCCCGATCCCCCCCACCCCCCCAAAAAAGGTTTAAGGTGATACGAACTCCAGATCTCGGCCTTTTCGTTTTCCAAAGAAAAGGAACCCATAGAGATTCCAAAAACCCAATCATTCCAATTTCCCTGAAATGTAAAGTCTAACATCCTCGAATCAAGCAACCCAATTTCAACTCAAATCATCATCCATCCATTCATTATACAATCCATTGGCATTGTCAGCTGCTTTATACAAATCTAATCCACCTCCCGTTCATGTCCAACACCCCCTTTCTATGGGTGTTTAATATTGGAGGGAAGGCATTAACAATGATTCATCATCTATTACCATCTGCCATAAACCATCATTAACCATCAAAGAATTCAGTAATCAACTAATTACTAGTGGGAAGGTGATAAGTATGATGGTAACTTGGGAAGTTTGATAAGTATGATGATCTTCCCAATAAAAGATCTTCTCATAATGTTGAGGCTCAATCTAAAGATGGTTCTTGGGAAGGGATTATTAACTATCATCATCATCGTTTTTATTATCAGCCACTACATAACTATCATTATCATGATCATGGTGATGATGATGACGACGACGACGATGACTATGATTACTACTGTTACCATTATTGTTGCTACATATTACTACTACTTTCATTCGTCACCAATAGTAGTATTATTGAAATGATGATATATATAACTATTGTTAACTCATTCTTATTACTTACTATTGTTATTGTTATTGTTATTGTTACTGTTGTTGTTATTGTTACTATTGTTGTTATTTTTATTATCATTGTGTATATATATATATCATGATTATCATAACTATCCAATCTATCTATTTCAATGATCTTCCAGGCTTCGGCTCCGCATGGAAGGAATCTACCTCCAGCGCCTGGCGAAAGATGCCCTCGGCCTCAGCGAAGCGCTCGGCACGGAGCAAGGCTTGGCCGTAGCACTCGCGCGTGGGGAGCAGCCTGGGCCGCGGGGGGAGAAATGTTCAGGTGGGTTGGGTGTCAGAAAAGGTGGGAAAAAACATGGGAAAACATGGAGAGAAGTATCAAAACCAGCAATTTTCCAGTGGTTCTAGACTTCGCACGTCTTCTTGCTCAACATTTGAGAGCTACTACCAAAAGCAATTGTGGAATTTGGTGATGGCATGTCCCACTTGAGCACGCCAAGCTCTGTGGCAATCGAGCATGGGAAATGGAACATGTGGCACATGCAAACCTCGCCAGCGTCTGTTATTCTCCAACATTTCCATTTTCAATCGGTTACCGGCTAGTGACTTGGAATGATCATTCCAAGTAAGTAGCCGAAGCCTAAGTAATTTCCCCTTCAAACAGTCTAATTCTTGCTGAGATATCGAAAATCATCCATAAAACCGTCTCAAACATCATACTCTATCTCCAATCCTCCGAAAAGAAGCACCACCACTCACCCAGACCGTGGTTTTCCCCTGTTTTCATCGCAGAAGGCAGGGCCCCCAAGTGATATGACTGGTGACTGGTGGGAAAGACGACAGGGAACTCTGAGTGTTCAATGATCGTTTTTTCCCTGTATCCGAATCCAATACTGGGGGCCCACACAGAAGCTTTAAGTTGGATATCAAACGTTCTTCCAAGCACGTGAGAACAAAAGCACCCTTCCCTCCCTTATTGACGAACAAATAGAAACAAGTCTTCAGCCTTGCTTTCCCCACTCCTTCCAAATCATACTCAGCCACAAAATGGATGGCTACTGCGGTCTCCCTGCAAACTACAACGATCTCCACTTGGTACTGGGGGGATCATCCCACCAATCGTAACTGCTTAGCAACCATTGTCAGTCCACCCAGTTATATATATAATTATATATACACATACGCATACACATGGGATACCCCACTCAGGGAAATTACTCAGGGTTACCAGTCGCATACCCAACCACCAGTTACTTACATATATATATACATATATATGTGTGTGATATATAAATGATATTATATATGTATATATATATATGTTGGTCCATAAACCCCCATACACCAGTTGGATACACCTACAGTAACACCCCACCTTATACACCCACTTCGCAATCTCCACCTGGGGCCCTGGGGCGCCCGCCAGTTGGGCGGCAGCCCATAGGGCATGGCCATCTCCACCTCCACCGCAGCAGCCAAGGCCTCTAGCGCACCTTCGACACGGCCTGCCTCCATGGCCAGCACGGCTGAGGCCGTGTGGTTCGCGATCAAGGGCTCCTGGCCCGGGAGGCCCGGGAGGGCGGGGGAGGGCCGGGGCGGGGGAGGGTTGGGGGTTGAGGGAATCATCTTTTTGGGAACTCATTGGGAAACATTGATGTATGTAGTGTACTCAAACTTCAGGAAGTATCTACTTTATAAAAGGCATGTGATCATTGGAGCTGGGGGTGCAGAAACAATCCGAATGCTTTTAAATGACCACGGCACCAGCTGAGCCGCAACCCATGCAGTGATAATTTGCTATCAAGATGGCGCCCCACCAAGTAAACCGCCTTTATTAATCCGGTGACATTAATCATCATACTTCACCCCAGGCACCATGGGATAATGTTATCCCCGAATGAACAAACCCCTCAATTTATTCATGTGGGATGGGTCACAGCATGCTGATCATTTTCCCTTCAAACAGATGATAAAACGGCAGCCCCATCCAACCCCCCAAAAAAATGACTGGGGGTTTAAAACAGTTTAGGAATCCGGGGTTGACAATTCCAGGTACCCCCTGGTAAACTAACATAGCTATGGAAATTACGAATTTAAAAACAGCAATCCCCCACAAATAGTCCATCTATACCATACACAGCCCAAACCCTTCAAGGGCTCACCCAAGAATATTCGAATGGCTCCCATGGCATCAGCATCATACCTTCAGCCCAGTCACATTGGTATACTTCCCCTGTTCCTCCACTGCCGGCATCAACCTCCGCAGCTGTGTCAGATGCTCCGCCGCCTCCGCCGCGTGACCAAGGTGGGCGGCTGCGATGCCATGCGCAAAGTGGGACAGGAAAGGACCTGCGCAGCAGGCAGCCATGAGTTCAACCATCGAAAGCCAGCCTTGAATGAGGTCATAGGACCCTCGGACGCCAGGATGTTAATGAAATTGAACAAATAAACCATTGCATCTTCGGGTACCTATTTGACACATACCCTCATGACAGCCAAACATGATAACCTTTGAAGTCAACAACAAAGGCTGCTAAAGTGGCTTCTTAATGTTCATTGAACTTCCACCACTTCTTCAAACCCAGATGGTGGTTCGACCTTTTAGGAACAGCGTGGCGCTCTGTTGAAAGACTTTGAGGAACGCTGGTTGCCCGAGTTAGCAATATACATTCAAACTCCACAAATCATCCTTCCAATTTCCGTTGCTAGCCCAGCTGGCCGCCTATCAAAGTGTCAGAGTCAGCGAACCTAGCTCTCCCAAAAGAAAACTGCACACGGTGGTGCCCCCCAGTTATCAGTTTAAAAATCCCAATCTCCTTTGACTATAGTTCTATCCTCCATAAACCATAGTTACACCACAGTTGTTGGAGTTCATCTCAACAACTTAGCAACTAGAAATCAGCTCTAAGTTGCAATTTTTCATCATTTTTCTGTGTTAAATCACCATCTTCCCAAGGGTTTTTGATGCTTCAGCCTGCCTCCATAGACCCACTTGGCGCCCCATGGCTCCGGTGCTTCCCGCTCCAGCGATGCCAGCCTGGGCCACTCAGCGAAGCGCAAGGCCACCAGCAGGGGGTAATTCCAGGCCATGCTGCCGTCCGGGAAGTCCTGGGGAGACGACATCTTGGATTTTTTTCGTATTTAAAATGGTTCAATGGAATGTATTTCCAAAATGTTTGTTGCGCTTTTGAAATGTTGAATGTCATATTGTATAGCTATGTATATAGGTACATACAAATATATATATATATGTGTATATTATACTATATATATTATATCTATGCGTGTATGTATATGCATATATATATATAAATATGGTCACCCCCCCACTCAGGTGGAGTAGTAGGAACAAAGTTCAACAACAACTCAGGTGGAGTAGTAGGAACAAAATCCAAATACAATTCAGGCGGGGTAACGGGCACTGGAATCCCACCTGGCAACCACATCCCGTGAAACGAAGGCGGCGTCTCCGGCGCCATCCAGCCATCGCTCACGTCCTTCCAGGACCTCAGCAAGGGAGTGGAAGAGACAATGGCGGGTAGCCAGTTCCAACCGGTGAGTGCCTAGAAGCAATGCAAAGAAAGGAACGACGTGCCCACAGCATATCCTCCACCACGCTTATGCCAAGATGCTCTGCGTCACTCTCGTTAGAGGCCGTTTCCACGATAGACATATCCGACCTGATGGAGATGATGAGACAGAACAATGGGATTGAAGCGTTTCTGCTTGAAGGCTGCAAGTTTGAAGACATTTGTGCATTTCAGGACTTGGCTCCCCCATGCTGTCCACGATCTCCATGTCGTTGACCTTGAAGGGCAGTGTTTACAGATAAAGGAAAGAATATGTAGAGAAGCAATGCTGCAATGAGACTTTCACATAGTAGTTGAGGTTCTGGCAGCGGATATGACTTTGGCTTAGCCATAGCCATAGCGCATGCAACCACGCCGTAGACATGGTGGAGGCCGGAAATCTACTGATGGATGAAAAATGCTGCAGACCAGAAGATACATTTTAAGTGCAAGATTTGAAATGGAAAACCAAAAAAACATCGAGAAAAAAACAAAAAAAACATATTTCAGAAGTCTTGTGGATCGGGGCCCTCCCAAAGGCGCAAGATTAGAATGGAAAACCAAAAAAACATCGAGAAAACCAAAAAACCAAAAACAACAATATTTCAGAAGTCTTGGGGATCGGGGCCGTCCCCAAAGAGTCTTGGAATATTGTTTTTTTGTTTTTCTCGAGGTTTTCTTTTTTTTTGGTTTTCTCAAGGTTTGTTTGGTTTTCTCCAAGGGGCCCTCCCCAAAGAGTCTTGGAATATTTTTTTTTTTCTTTTTTTGTTTTTTGTTTAGGTTTTCTCGAGTTTTTTTTTGGTTTTCTCAAGGTTTTTTTGGTTTTCTCCAAGGGGCCCTCCCCAAAGAGTCTTGGAATATTGTTTTTTGTCCCCACCTGCCAGGTGAGGGTTGTTAGATTTTATCAGGAGCTGTTCTCCTCCTCCTCCGCCTCCTCCTCCATCTCCTCCTCGGCCTCCTCCTCGCAGTCCAGATCCCAGTGGGCACAGCCGGACCTCCACCGCGAGCTCCAGATCCCAGTGGGCACTGCCTGACCTCAACCGCGAGTTGCAGATCGCAGTGGGCACTGCCGGACCTCAACCGCGACTTCCAGGTCACAGTGGGCACTGCCGGACCTCAACCGCGAGCTCCAGATCCCAGTGGGCACTGCCGGACCTCAACCGCGAGCTCCAGATCCCAGTGGGCACTGCCGGACCTCAACCGCGACTTCCAGATCGCAGACTTCCAGATCGCAGTGGGCACTGCCGGACCTCAACGGGAAGAAAAGATGTCAGATAGAATGTCAGAAGATATGCCAGATAGAATGCCAGAAAGAATGTCAGAAGATATGCCAGGTAGAATGCCAGAAGATTTGCCAGATAGAATGCCAGAAGATTTGCCAGAACATGTGCCAGAAGATATGCCAGATAGAATGCCAGAAGATATGTCAGATAGAATGCCAGAAGATTTGCCAGTAAGAAATGTATAAATGTCATGGTGGGGATCATTCGAAGTGAAATAATTTTGTTTTTCTTGGTTTTCCCAATATTTTTGTTAACTTTCTCCCACAGGCCCTCCCCAGATAACATTCTTGAAACATTAATAATATAATATATATTGACAGCAACATACAAACACATTGTGAATGTAGTACAAAATGTGAACATCAAAAATATCTATTGTCATTGTAAATTACAATAGAAACAACATGTCGGCGGTGGGGGGTGACCATATATATATATATATATATATTTATTCACATGTATGCAAACATTTGATCTCCTCTTTTTGGGATTTAACCGAGGATTCTATGGGATTGTATCTGGATTTGATAGAATGGTATGGGATGATAATGGGAATATCAAGGGGATATAATGGGAACCAGTCGATAGAACATCATAGAACCAACTATACTGGGGATTTTCATTTAATTTAATGGAATGTTTCCGGGGAAAGACTCAAAATCCGCCAAAACTGTCCGTTCTAGTAGGGGGGCTATGGTTAGCTATGACTTATCACCATTTTCTCGAGCTTCGGATTGACCTGGCGCGCGCGCAAAGACCTTCTGCGCCACCTCGGGGAGTCTGAAAGGGTCACCCTCAAAGTGCCCGTGAAACTTCGACAAAAACACCAGAAATTTGGGCTAAGCACTCATTCTGGTAGGATTGATAAGGGTCTAGTGAACATTCAAGAAGGGCAAGAACACATGATTCACCAATCTCGGGTTTTCCAACCATTCTTGAACAACCCTGCCTGGACATACTTGTAGGCTTCCGCCTTTTCACCTCCCCAGAGGGCGCAGCAAACCAAGAAAACTGAGTTGTGGCCAGGGCCGTAGGGCATCCAATGATGCTGCAAGTACGCGTCATCACCTGAGAAGGGCTGGTAAGACATGCCATTCAAATTGACCATGAATTGGCGAGGATTTAATAAGGGTATAATATTGTATACTTTATAATCAAAAATGGCTCAATAATGTTGAAGATATTCTCGAATAATGAAGAACAACTTGAGAATGCAACTTCAGTTTCTGACTTTCTGCAACCAAGGCATCCAAGGCACTTCGGACGGCGACTACATTGCTCAGCAATGCTTGATGATAACGTCCAGTTCGAAGATAGGTATGACTGGTCATGTGTTGAAGATGCTGGTCTTGCAACTTGGCGGTATTCGCCTGAAAACATGCAAAAACATGGCTAAGAATAGATGAGCTTGACTGTTTTGAAAACAGGATTGTGAAATTATATTCTATTGCCCCTGAACTGTTCCGTCTGTTTTTGTCAACCTCATATCCTCTAAAACATGATTGGTCTTGGCGTCCCCGATTTTAGCTCTTATCATCATCGGGCTTACTATCCCCAGACTAAGATTGGATTCATTCAATTTGTGTTGAAAAAAAAGGACCCGGAAACATGGTTAGGCACAAACATCTAAGGGAGAAACACAACTCTATTTCAACGGATTGGTTGAAGGATTTCCTCTTACTTGTTCCTTCCACCAAAAACCATGATTTATATACATGTTCAATCATTTTCAGTCGGGAAACTAGAAAACAACAATACCTCCTCAAACAAACTGCTACCGGCATTTTTGTTCCCCTTTTCTTTGTTTGGGGTTCCAACCACCCCAAGACCCTGGTGCGCCAGCAGGTGCTCTGCGCTGGTGAGAGCCGTTTCGGCTTGGACGTTGGACATCTCGGTGCTGTGGATCAGCAGGTGCTGCGCATAGGGATGTGTCCTTTGTGGCCGATATTAGCCGATGAGCCCAGTGGATTGGCATGGGAATGTCCATGGAATTTTGGGTGGGATTTGATGGGATTTTGGACTTTGATGGCTGTTTACTGACGGGATCAAGAGAGATCTTTCTTCGGATTTCATCGATTTTCCCCCGGGGTTTGGGCTGGCACCATCCACCAATTGTAAGGGGCCCTCATATGTCTTTGTGGTATATAATATGACCTTGTCCAAAAATGATCAAACATGGGGCATGGGCACCGCAAGTTATGGCCAAAGAATCAGACCTTGAATCTCGCACGTTTTTAGGAATCCCATCCACTTGTTCAATGAAGTCAGGGAAAGTTGTTTGGGGGTATCATCCAGTTGTGCAGTTAGTTTGAGAGGAAAATTTCTTAGAAGGATACCATTCATTACTTCAATGGACTAACCCGGCTGGCGGCTATTTTTTAACTTCAAAATAGCAAATACGGATCTTCTATTGCCATTGATTACCACAGGGTATCATTAACAGTAATTGTTGCATCACCAACAAGATCTCATTGGGTTGAAGGGGAAATTTACAGGATGGCTCTATTTGATGTGGGAATCCGATGGTTTCCCGTGAAGAAGTAAGCTTCGGTGGTATCCGCTGGTATCCCCAACAGCCGCAACGTTTTATTTTTACAGATCGTTCTGAAGCGTGCTGCGAAGCGAAGCGCTGGAAACCCTGTTGAACCTGATCTGGCCCTGCACCAAAGATTCCTAAAACCTTCTCCGGGACCTTCTCCGGAATCCTGTTGAACCTGACCTGGCGCTGCACCAAGCCTCCCAGACCTTCCCGAACCTTCTTCGGAACCCTGTTGAACTTCTCCGGAACCCTGTTGAACCTGACCTGGCTCTACACCAAAGCCTCCCCGACCTTCTCCGGAACCTTCTCCGAAACCCTGTTGAACCTGACCTGGTTCTGCACCAAAGCCTCCCCGACCTTCTCCGGTTAGCTTACGCTATTGGGGGAAAAACACCATTTTCCCAGGGCCCCGCGAATCGCCGCTTCGCGTCTGATTCGTGACCTCCAGGACTTCTCGCAGCAGTTTGGTGCTTTCCACCCTTGGCGCGACAAAACTGGTTGAACCTGGGGGATTCAACCAGTGAATTCAGGGATGATCATGCGTTCTGTTACAATAAAAACGCTTTAGCCTGGCATTAGAACTTCAATACAGTAAGACTGTCGTATCCCAACCCAAGAGCTTTAGCAGGTCAAGTGTCCATTTTTGTTACTTTCCCAGTCTTTTGATGCCATATATGGGTCTAAACAGGTCTAAACACTGTTTCCCTTTGGTTTTCACACCCAAATCCCGACTCTGGGGAGTCGCCTGCTACATCCCCGGCTGCAACCGTGGCACGTCTGGGGCATGGGCAGCGGCGTCATCACACCTTCACCCTGGTAGAAGTGCCACTCATTGGGAGTGCAGAGTTGGAGCATCAGGGCCTCTGCCAAAAAGACCTGCAAAAAAGGCGGCGCTTTACGACCAACTTCGGGTGAAATGGGGATGGCTTATGGATGTTGATGCCCATTAAGCTTTATGACATTAGAGTCAAGAGGAACGTTTTTTTGGCTGATGGATGTCCTGGAGCGAGAGAGAGAGATCAGTGCGAAGTTGTGGGTTTTATATGGTTTTGCCGTAACCGTATCCTCTGAGAACTGGAATTGCATTGGTGCTGGTGATGATTCACGCACCAACTGCTAACGTACAACCGTCGAACGCTGTTGATCAAACACCCGTATCCAACGGCGACAAATTGTGAAATTAATGCAACGGTCACCATGTTCGTGCACTGTCAGCTTGTAGGAACCAACGAAAGGATACAAAAGATCAAAAGGAACCTTTATCATTTTTTATCATGAAAAATGTAACTTTCACACAGTATCTAAAACATTTTCAAACGACCAAGCAGCAAGACCAAGAGCTGCAAAAGTTTTTCATTCCCCAAGGCCTTGAGATCGATATCTTCCAAGAGATTCATCCTGAGATTTCAAACATGTTCCCAAGTTCCCAAGCATCTCAAACGATTACTTGCCAATCTGCAGGTAAAGTATGAGGTCAACAAAACAAGGAGAACAACACATTGTAAAACTCAGCCACCATTGAAACTTTGTCTGGAAGCACCGTGGCTTTCACTATGATTTCGATCTGACCATGCAATTTTTGTGCATCCAACATTTTGACTCATACGCGCTTGAATTCATTGCGACCACCACCACCACCACCACCATCACCACCAGGAGGCAAATAGGTAGAAAAACTGAAGGCACCAACCTACAGACAGTTGTAGCACTTCCTACCCGTGATGACCGAACACTTGACCACTAGCACTTACAGGTAGTATGGCCATGAAACATGCAGCATTTGCTATGGTAGTATGGCCATGAAACATGCAGCATTTGCTATCCACTGCGGGGTGAATGAAGTGCATACCTGCATACCGTGGTTGACTTGTCACCTCATTGTGCTCCTGTCCAGCTGGATGATCTTCCCAACCCTTTCGATGTCATTTCACACCATCCCACCTATATAGATAGATAGATAGACAGATAGATAGATAGATTAGATAGTCATATTTAAATATGTCTATTTCTATCAATATTTGTATTTGTGTTTATATTTTTAATTTTCATATATTTATATAGTTATTGATAGGGGTATACATATCATAATACAAATGGGTATACCCAAGTTCATGGACCCCAATTCGGGATGGTTTAAAATCTGAGGGTTGATGGGTATGGGAACTTAAGAGCCATGGCTTGGGAATGGGTAAAAACATGTAGAAACCCACAAAAATGATGGTTGCGTGGCGTTCCTGCAATGGTTTCAGGCACAGCATCTCTTCCGTCAAACTTCGCAGGCGCTCCGCGTAGCGTTTTCCCGCCGCGCGAGTGTCAGAGGCATCGGGACCCTTGGGACCGTCGTAGCGCTGCGCCATGGAGCGGATCAGCACCTCAAGGCCAGAAATGTTGCTCCCCCAATAGCTGGATGGTTTATTTCATGGAAAATCTCATGAAAATAGATGAGTAAAATGGGTACCCCTATTTCAGGAAACCTCCATATATGGGGATCTATATGGCTATGGATCAATACCATTCACCCATAAATACAATTTTTTGGATGAACATCAATAAATCCCAGCTATTTTGATGTGAATAGAAGGGGTATGAGGTGACCCATCCCCATCGGAAGGATTGGTTGAGGATATCCAAAACATTCCAAACCATTCCAAAACCTATATGTATATATATATAAATATTTGTATATATCTGTATACATGTATATTTGTATATATATATATGTGTATATATGTATATATGTATATGTGTATATATGTATATATGTATATTTGTATATATGTATGTATGTATGTATGTATCTATGTATCTATCTATCTATCTATCGATCTATCTATCTATCGATCTATCGATCTATCGATCTATCGATCTCTCAATCGATCGATCGATCGATCGATCTATCTATATCTCTCTATCTCTCTATCTCTCTATCTCTCTATCTCTCTATCTCTCTATCTATCTATCTATCTATCTATCTATCTAATCATCTAATCTATCTAATCTATCTAATCTATCTAATCTATCGATCTATCGATCTATCGATCGATTGATCGATCGATCGATCTATCGATCGATCTATCTATCTATCAAATCTATCAAATCAATCAATCAATCTATCTATCTATCTATCTATCTATCTATTTCATCATATATCTTCATATTCCTCTTTCTGTAATGCTTTAAAATGGTTTAAAAAAGTATAGAAGTCCTCCAAAAGATGAATGTTGTGAATCACTGCTGGTTTAATGGCAATTTTCATTTCCCTCTTTTGGGGCAATTCCTGACGATTCACTTAGGGTTCATCATCCCAGGGTGGAGAAGCGGCAAAGGAGGTGGTGGTGGTGATGGTTGTGGTGAGCATTTTGTTTCCCAAAATTTCCCACATAAAGCAGGTGCATTTCACCAAACAACGTTCTGCAGAGTTCCACACTGCCAACAAAATCCAGCAAAACGACGCACCCTGACACGAAACACTCATTTTCAATTTGAATTTATATGCTGATACACAAGTCCGATTCTTTCCTTCCAAACATGTCCTGCTTCCAAAGTCTTTTGTCCTTCTCAAGGTAAGACTGCAACATAAAAACACCGTATTTTATACCATCCCATTTTCCTTCCCAAATCAGCCATTGCAGTGTTTCATCCCCCAAGCATCCCCCGCTACTCTTGACCCTTGATTCAGCATATGTTGTTGGTTAAAACATGTTAACCCACCATGGTTTGATCCATTTACCCTCTGCTCATCAACCATGGCAATTGAAAACGCCTCAAACATGGAGGTTTCAATGGCTAAATTGGTGAAGCTGATTGCCAGAGGTCTACCCCCCCAATCCCCTGGCCTAACCCCACCTGCTCCTTGGCGCTGTAGATCTCCGGTCTCCGCTCCATCACTTCCATGGCCTGCCTGGCCGCCAGTGCGCCGGCCCTATGGTCGTCGCGGTTCTTCAACGGCGCGTTCAACGTGGGGCCGCAGGCGTGGGCGAAGCCCCAGGAGCACAGCGCGCAGTGATGGCTGAGGCGAATGGCTTCCTGGGGACCGTTGGTGGCTTGGGGATGTAGAGAAATCATGATAGAGTATGAGAGATTAACATTACAAGAGACCATGGGATATATTTGACTTGATGACTTTTTTGACCATGAGATAGATTTTGATGGATGAACAAGTTTGATGACTTTTGATCCTGATAATCGGCCATTTTGAATCATTCTGATTACTTTTTTGTGGGGATGGAGCTTTTACCGTCCTCCCAAGTACTTGTTTGACCGGATAATGATAACAAGTAATCTTTTATGGGAAAATAGTCGTCCAAGCTTCATTTTGACAGGGTACTCGTGTAAGAGTTGGGTTGAAATAGCGCCATCTGGGTGGAGTTTTGAAGGATTAGGCAACAACAAGTAGGACTTGGTGACGGGATGAAGAACCCTGACCTGGAGGATGGCGAGATTAGGCTTAAAAAAACCTAAAGCACAACTATAGAAGAGCGAATTGACACCAAAGAAAAGGGGGCCTCCTGGGTTCTCCCTAACGGTTTTGTGTCTTGTGTGTGGCACTGTCATATGCACACATCTCTTGTACATTCATGCGCGTGTGGTTCCTGCCACCACACCCGAGCCTGAAAGACCAGTTTGGCGTTGCGCTGGTCAAAGTTATAAATCAGCTGCAGGCCCATGTTAAAGAGTTGATTCACAGTTCCACTGGTCGTCCCCTCTGCAGGCCTTGAATTTGTTGAACAAAACCCCAAATAGCTAAAACATCTTCTAGATCCCTATATAGTAGATAGATGATGATAGATCTACATGCTCCAACTGATGAAATTCCCACTGGGAACAAACATCAAAAAAAAGCATCAAAATCTTCGCTCAGCCCAGGTGGCACAAGGGTGATGTTGAACTGCCCGGCTCCGGTGCCGTGGCCCAGCAACCGGGGCGACCATCCCAGAAGCTGCGTGAAGTTCAGAGCTTCACTGGTGGCCGAACCTGGAGCGCATGAACGTTATTGAACATGCAAAAAAATATCAGGACCCATAAAACAGGGTTTGAGTCAATGGGGTATGGCCCAATATGGTTTGCTTTTACAAAACTGCAGAAAAAGACAGGAAAAGACAGAAAAAGACAGAAAGAGCCAGAAAGAGACAGAAAAAGACAAAAAGAGACAAAAACAGACAGAAAGAGTTCGATCCAGCACATGTCAAGTCATGTCAGGTCATGCTGCAACATGCCGGCCAATGGTCGTTCAACTGTGGTCAATGGCATCATTCTTTTCAAGGCAGTGGCACGGCACAGAAGCCATGCATTCAATAGCATTACGAGGTTCAAATCACGTGCCTCCCAAAAGTGAAAGATGTTAAATTGAAATATGACATGTGTCATTTGATGTACCTGAAGCACAAGCAAATCAAATAAGGCACTGTGACTATGATAAGGCTCAGCTACCCCCCCGCGACATGTGACATGTCATGTTGCGCTGACTGACTGAATCTGATCATCAAATGATGATGGCAAGTGAAAAGAGAATCCGGGCACAATCCGGCAAGAATCATACCGGATGACATTAGCAAGGAAAAGGTTACAACTCAAATAACAAAAGCCAGAAAAAGACAGAAAAAGACAGAAAGAGACAGAAAAAGACAGAAAAAGACAAAAAGAGACAAAAAGAGATTAGCAAAAAACCCTACTGATACAAAACCCTGCTGAACCAACCCCTGTTTTACTGTTACCGAAAATAACACCCAAAATGGAAAAGTCATGCACCACTATTATAGTAGCATTTTACTAGACTTTAATTGTTTGCCTTTTTGGTGCTTGTTGGTTTCTGGAGATATTGATCATTGGGTGCTTAGACGCTTAGATGTCCCAACCAAACAGCATGTATAATGTATGTGTCCAACTCTTGTTCGCGCTCTGAAAATGAGAAAAACCTGATTTACCACCCTTCCAATTTGGAAGCACATTCTCCAGTTTCCAGGCTTTTTGGACCTCTTAATTCCATGTAATATATCCATTCACTTGTCACTTGTCGCTGCCAAGGGGCATGCCAACGTCAAAAAAAAGGGAAGTCCTCTTGCGATCCAACTTTGCACCATGGTCGCCAAAATTGCGATGGAAGAGGGGTGCTGTTGGATCACTTGATGCAACTCGGATCTGGCTAAAAGGGTGACGGGCAGATTTATTCGCTTTATGGCGTGGGTTGAGCTGCTGACAACATGCCTTCTCTGTTTGCCACATGGCAGACTCGTCGTTGTCTCACACATGTCCCCGGTCGTAAAGTAAGAGAATCACCAGACTTGCACTGGACCCTTAGTTGGGATTTCTCTGGATTTCGACGCTTCGTTCAAAGGCACCTTTTTATTGATCCCATAAGGTGCCGTCATCCAGGCTTTGTCTGTACATTGATGCGCTATGATCCAACCTATCATGCCGACTCTGCAAAACCCAGCGGAACTTGAGCAAGTTGTGGCAAGCGCAGCCAACATGTCTTGGGGATGATCCCATTTGTTTTGGTTAAAAAAAGTCTCCTGTTGTGAGTTGACTTTCGGGATACGTATAATTTGCGCCCGTTTCGTAAGGTTTCGTAAGTAGCAAATGAGCCTGGCTAGGAAGTCGTGGCACATGGGGTTTTATCCATTTTTGTGCATTTTTGATCCTATCTTTAAGTGGGTTGTAATCCATTTTTATCTTTAATACTGGTTGGCAACTTCCATCATCCACAGTGGCTTACCGGTTGGCCGGTGAAACCGGCCTGGCCACTGGAGGGTGCGACTGGTGCCTTAGACCAACAAAAAGTAGATCGGTTGATCACTGAAGGATCTGAAGAAAAACGTATAAAATCATGAGCATTAAATACGCACATATCAATTACATATCCATGAAATATCCATGTATATCCATAGTATATATGCATAAGACGCAAGGCATTTTGCAGCACACCCTGCACTTGGAAGTCTAAAACTTGCCGTGTTGCTGGTGCTTCTGCGGGCTCCCTGGTAGCGCAGGAGAGGATCTTGGTGGGAGGAAATGGGGACAGAATCTGAGCAATCTGACATCCCTAAGCGACACACTTCCCCAATTTCATGAGCCTGACTGGTTGAATACCTAAATCTATTGCGAATATATTCGGTTGCTTGTTCCTCGCCCAACCTTTTCTTCTATTGAGAGACCCAATTCCGGGAGAGAGCCATCTTTGGGTGGAAAAAATGCCATAGATTCAGGTGGTATGAAACATTCGTCAGAGTAGAAAACCTTGGTTTAGTACTGGCCCTATTCATTTTGGATGTCATATGGGTTTGCCTGAAAGTAGGATTCCCGTAAAACCACTGTTTGATTATCGTTTCCCTGTTCAAATTCGACAAAGCATGATAAAACATTATAAAAGTAACATTTTGGGGGGTATACTCCCATTTTCAAACATGTTTTTGGTATTCAATAATGATAAAATGACTTCATCCAATGGTCCATGGTTGGTTGGTTTCTGGCCTGGCTCCAGCTGCTGCAACGTCTGGCTCAGCCCTTGTGATCCAGCCTAGCCAAAATGACATCTCAAAATAAGCCCTGGTGGTCCCCCAGTTCGTTAGCTAAGTTGGTGCCAATAACTCCAATTTCACCGTGGTTTATGGTAGATATATTGACATACTATTCCTATGGTTTAGAAGCCAACATTCACATCACTGGGGGGGCACCATCCTGTTATTTGGGGATGGGTCAAAGCAACCATTTTAGGGGAAGAAACGATAGACAATTATGAACATTGGTTGGGGAACCCCCTAGTTGCTCAACCAGAGTCCAGAGTTAAAAATCATCCGGGGTTAAAAGACATTTTTGCTGACCGCCTTTTTGTACATTTTTTTCGGGCGTTTCGAACAAACTTCACTTTTTTCGATGTAATTTTCCCTTTTCCAGCGAAACCACATGCGTTTCTTTTGAACTATTGAACTCCCAAACAAATTTTAAAAAAAAGACTAAAAAAAGTGATCAATCAATTCCCAGAAAAATAGTGATGAATAACTGACTTTTCCATCTTTTTTGGGCTACTGTATTTTTTCCCCAAGTCTTGTGGTTTCCATCGTCCGCGTCATCGCCTGGCAACGCCCCCCTGCCGCTCGACTCCTACAGGATGCAGCTGGATGTTGAATGGTTGCACAACAAAGTGGCTATTTATATATACAGTAACCACATGTAACCACCCCCCCAAAAAATAGAAAAGTAACTTAGCATGATTTTGGTGGGGCTTTAAATTTTGATCCCAACGTGCGAAATCCTAAAGGTTGCCGGCTGATAAATTGGGGTCAGTGGTTTGTATCTTCTCTCTTTTCGCACCGCAATTGGCATCTGGTTGAAAACCGGCTTCAACGCATACCATAATGTTGTAAAACAACTGCTGATTGGGGATCACCATCCCAAATAACTACGTTTCCTTTCAACATCGGCCATGCTCATTGTGGGCACCTAAAACTGGAGATTCTCCAAACGAATTTCTGAGACTTGCAGCAACACCACCTAGCACTGGAATGAAGGGCACAAAAATGGACCTGCAAATTTGTTTCCCGTTCGTCCTCGTAGATCCAATAATATGTTGTTATGTGCACTGTCGGTATGCATGTCTATCTATCTATCTATCTGTCTGTCTGTCTGTCTGTCTGTCTATATATCTTTCTATCTATCTGTCAGTCAGTCAGTCTGTCTGGCTATCTATCTATCTATCTGTCAGTCAGTCTGTCTGTCTATCTATCTATCTATCTGTCAGTCAGTCAGTCTGTCTGTCTATCTATCTATCTGTCAGTCAGTTTGTCTGTCTATCTATCTATCTATCTGTCAGTCAGTCAGTCTGTCTGTCTATCTATCTATCTACCTGTCAGTCAGTCAGTCTGTCTGTCTATCTATCTATCTGTCAGTCAGTCAGTCTGTCTATCTATCTGTCAGTCAGTCAGTCTGTCTATCTATCTATCTGTCAGTCAGTCTGTCTATCTATCTATCTGTCAGTCAGTCTGTCTATCTATCTATCTATCTGTCAGTCAGTCAGTCTGTCTATCTATCTGTCAGTCAGTCAGTCTGTCTATCTATCTATCTGTCAGTCAGTCAGTCTGTCTGTCTACCTATATATCTATCTGGCAGTCAGTCAGTCAGTCAGTCAGTCTCTCTATCTATCTATCTATCTATCTACCTATCTACCTACCTACCTACCTAGCTAGCTAGCTATCTATCTGTCTGTCTGTCTGTCTGTCTATCTCTATATTTACACATGTATATGCATCTTCTTCGAAGATGCAAGTGGGTCAAGTAAAGATGCTTGCTGATGTGTTGTTTATGCGTAATGAATAATAATACACATACATCACATAGGAGCACCCAGCTTATCCACATTGGTCCCTCACCTCCTTTTGGTCTTGGGGCTTGGCAGACCTCGGGTGTGGCTTGATGGGAAAACCAGAATTCATGGCAGGATTAGAGACATGCAACAGTTCACAATCTTCAATCATCTGAGGAGATTTTCATACCGCAAAACTTGATGCCCGTATTTGGGCCAAATCTCAACTACACCCCTTAAATCTCACCATTGAATCCCGGAATCCGAGAACGCGTTCGCGCATTCTAAACATGAGGCTCCTTCTGAAAGGACATGGGATGAATCTAGTTCCACAAAAACCACCAAAACCAAACTCAAAGACGCCAAAAATGACCGACCACAACAGAATAATCCGAATCCGTGCTTTACCGGGCAACTGAGTTTAAACTAAACTCACCGTTTTTTGGCTATGGGGAAAAAACTCAACAGAAGTGGATCATTTGAAAAACCCATGGCTTTCCATGGCTAAGGGACACCGCCGGAAGCTCCTTCTCCTCGCTCGCGCTCGCGCCGGCACCTCCTTTATGGATTGCGGTAGTCGTGGCCGCGACGGCCACGTGTTAATGGTGTTTCAATGGGATATTCATAAGGATATAATGTGGTACATCCGGTAAGAAACCTATTAATAAACCTAATTTCAAGGATATGATGTGGTAAACCAAATAATCAACCTAACACTTGGGGATGGTCCATACAACCCATCTATGGTGATTTTGGCTTTGGTTTATTATTGGGCTTCCCACATTCATGGGATATGTAATCAAATATAGTCAAAAGCAGGCCACTGCGGGAAATGCAAGTGGCAGTGGATCTGTTCGTTGTTAAGCCACCTGCCACATTTTTTCAACGAAATTATGCTTCCTCAGCAACAAACAGGGCAGTTGAAAATCGCAGAGGTATAACAGGTGTTAAATCATAGAGATGTCCTAGTCCTTCAGATTTGCTGAACAACTTGTAGATTGAAGCATCAATACAATACAAGGAAAGGAGGCACAATTAGTCACGGCAATGACTGAATTGTTTCATCCTCATAAATGAACAGGTGGTGGGTCGCGCAAATCGTGCCAAATCACAATAATCCACCAAGCTTGATGACATAGCCCCACCTACAAACCATCCTCTATGGTGACGGTGTGTTGAGTCCAAGTCGCCCAAATAGATGTAATGAGCTAAACCCAATAATAGTCATATACAGTCATGGTTTATTTATGACATTGGGTATGCCTTAAGTACTGGGACGATGTAACATGATCCTTCAGTGCCTGGTCACTGCCAACCTTTGGGACCCTGCAGCCAAGCATCTTCGATAGCCGTAGGAGTAGCTACCATAGCCATAGCCACTGTAGTTCTGGTTGCCGTTTTTGCCATAGCCTTGGTTCCCAGAGGGGACTCCTTTAACATCGGCAGCTCTTAAGGCTTATGGATTGGATCTGAGCTGTTGAAATCCGAGGGCCAGACTACCTTTCTTGTTCTTCAGTCGAATCCAACCTTGGACTGCGCAGCCACACTTGACAACTGCTTCATCCACCAAAAGCCTTCAGGAAAACAGCTCGGAGCCTGTGTTTCAACGGTGTTTCACCCCATCCCGTCGCAAAAACAAACGTCAACTGCGACCATCATCCCATGAAGGAAAATAACTGGTTGCTGGTGTCCACCACCCACCGGGAATCATCGACTATGATTGTTGACCACTATCCCAAAACAAACCGAACCCCAAACAAAAAATGACTGTACCCTCAGGTAATCACATGTGGCAATGGAAAATCGGCCATTAATAAATTATTTTCACATGGACGCATCCCTTTTATAGTGGATTCTCCAGCTAGCCACATTGGATTAGAAGGTACACCGCCAATCTGGCGCCAAGGCGCTGCCAGCTCCGGTGTCGGGCCAAAACTCGAAGGTGGCTTCCCCCTCGGTCTTGGAGCTGTCGACCTTGGAGCTGCTTCAAGAAGTCCACCGAAGTCCACCGAAAGGGTCACCGAGGAGTTGGCTGAATGTCACAAGTGTATCAAATTGAAACTAAGAACTTCCGCCTCCCGCCTCCTGCACTCTCTCACCTTCATTTCCACTCTCTCTCCCTCTCTCTTACTCTCTGTCTGACCAACAACATCAACAACTATGTATCACCAAGTCAGCCTTCAAGCTTCATCCGGACTCCAAGGAGGTTCACCACACATGAAACCGTGAAACTGGAAATATCCACTATTGAACAGCCCAAACAGTCTATCTTGAAAATCATACATATTTAGTAAATATCTATATCTACATATATATATAAAGCCTATCTACATCTCATCCCTTTCCTCTCAGCTTCGTGAGGTCGCAATGAGGTCGTTATAATTTACCCAACTATTGTATTATGTTGTATTCTGTTATCTTATAAAAACGATATTATATTGTAACTTGTATTGTGCTTTCTTATATGATTCTATTGATTATGCGTCTCATTGAAGGAAACATCATGTTTATATATAATATTCATAAACTGGACTTTCTATTGAGTATCTTGTGAACCCGCCATTTTTGGCACATCTAGCTTGGAAAAATATCAGTTTTCCATACTTTTCCAGCAGTTTTTCCATTTTTTTCGGTGCGATTTCCCGCAGCCCCGGACCAGTTCTTGGATGAACTTCTCCACTCGCTCGGTCAACTTGACTGCCAGGGGCAGATCCTGTCGGAAAAAAAAACCAGCTGTGGTTAATTGGTGTACATGTTTGAAAAAATGCAAGGACATGGGTAGAAAATTCGATTTGGCATATTGCTGAGGATGCATATGGATTTTTACTATTTTATGATTAGGAAGTGGCTTATCATTGGTCATTTGCTGTATCTGCAGTATAGTAAATTCAGCGAGCGTTCCAGTGCACGGAAAGTGTGCAGAGAAATGCTTCAAAACATTGACCCTTCTGGTGGAAGATCATGTGTCATGGCTAAGCTGAGTTCCAAGAATGGATTTTTGGCTGAGCATTGCATTCCCCTATTGTTGGCAAACAAACAATATATTAAACTACCCAACGAGGTGTGCCCAGTATCCCCAACTTTCTGTTCTTTTCCTACAGCCAGCTTTGAGTAGAGTTGCTCTGGTGGTCGCATATTTAGTGAATGAACATATGGCTGGTGTGATCGTTGAGCAACCATACCAGTGTAAAATCGATTTTATAACTCCTGCTTTCAGTAGCATTTCCAAGTGTCACTTCCCAGAAGTAGCAGTCCCATCCAATTCCCAACAAATACTGCATCATTTTTTCCACCGCAGGCTGAGGCTGTACAGAAAGTTAGCGATGAAGCCACGGAGTTGGCTCATTCAGTGTCGGGCTTAGCTCGCGGAAGCTCAAAGTACAGCAATTCATCCAAGCAAATGGTGCCGTAGAAGAAACCTTTTCCTTCCTACGGGGATGGCAAGGAAGGGTTGGTCTTGGTCAAGTCATTGGATTTTTCTTTGGGCAAAGAACTTTGGCACGCGTATATGAAGACCATCTATGAAAACCAATGGAGCTACAGAAAGCAAGCAGCCAAAAACAGAGTTTAGGATGAACACACCAAAACGAACGTATTTTTTGGGGACCTGGTGGCGTTGCACTCTCTTTTCTTTTGGGGGAGGCCCTGCCAAAATTAGATAAACCAAACCAAACGATAAAGCAAAATCAACCAGCCATAGAAACAGCCTTTTTAATGCCTTTTTACTGTTTGAGCTGTGAACAATCGGAAGGCAACTTTTTTAGGCTGTCTCGAAAGATGCCCGCCAGTCAAAACTTGAACATCTCTAACGTGGGTGGGCAACTGCCTTGCTATGATGCTTGCATCCTATTCTATACATGTTGGGATGTTCATTCTATTGTACCTGGGTTTGAAGACTAAGTTTAGCGGATAGTTCAGAGGCAGTCTGGGGCTGGTTTCGCTATTGGGACCTTTGCAATCCATCGGCTGCCGTTCCAACCAATTAGCCTAGCCACAAACCGCAAGGGAACAGCGGCACCCGAAATGACAGAAACATCTGATAGATAGTTTGAACATCTTTGAACATGTTGAACATTTTGCCAGGCACATGGCTCCAAAGAAAACCACCGCTGCCAAGCTTCCTTTTCGTTTTCTTGCAGCTCGCGCGCGAATTTCTGCAGCGATGTGAGCAATTCTTCCTCGCGCTATCCATGAATTCACCGGACCAAAATGATGTGAAGGTGCGCCCTAACATTAAACCCCAAAATCCCCAAAACAATAATCATTCGCACATATCATTTTCTCAACACATCTTTAAGTGCCGTCCTCTCGTTGTCACATCTGGCAGCAGATCCTTTTTTCGCTTGATTTCCTCGTTGAGAAGTATCTGGTGACACCAATTTCAACCACCAAGAGTCGTCCTTTTCACTCAACACATCATTTCCCCCAAATGTTTGGGTCAGGGTCGGCTGGACTAAATCTCTGGTACCACCAGAACTTCCATCTGTAAGTATCCTTCATCCCCTTTGTCTTGGTCAAGTCATCAATGTTACCAAGCAGTTCGTAGTAATACTCCACAACTCAGAAATTCACAAGGTGGCGACCACCATTTTTTAAAGCTGGTTAAACCCCCCTATCAACTATAAATACATGCATCACAAAAACTAATGAACTTGGAGTTAGTTGCACCAACTTCGGCAACTGACTATGGCTTAAAAAGCACCACCACCTAAATCATCCCAATCATCAAAATCAACCAACCTTTCCATCATTTTCCATCACGAGGTCCCCATCCTCCTCCATGAGGTACACACTCCGGCACATCTTGGCCAAGCGCACGTCCCAGTCCGTCCAGCCCATGCCCTTCTCCGCTGGGGCGATGCGGCTTTGTTGGTCCAGATCCCAGCCCCAAGCAGCGCAGGCCAGGCGTACGGCTTCGTGATATCCTGGCGTCGGTGGGGGAAAACATGTGGAATCTCAAGGGATCCTCTGGTAAACTCAAAGTTTACTATGGAAATCGGCATCTTTTTTTTGGTCAATCAATTATAAATAGGCCACTTTCAATAGCAAACTGTTAGTCATTACCAGAGGGTAAAGGGAATCTCTGAATATCTACTACAATCTCGTAGTGAATTTTGAAGGATGACAAAGGACAACAGGACAACTTCAGTTGTGGGGCCTAGTCACAGGACCCTCGGCAATCACCGACTAATTGACCAATCTCATCTAAATTCTAGAGAAAACCAACATGTACCTTCTACCATGTATAAAGAAATCATAAGAAAACAAACCAAAAAACCGTCCTTCCAACCATTCAGCATCGTTTCGCAAGGCACTCACATCTTCCTCACTGCAAAGGTTGAACTCTGCCTTGGAGCCGTCATCGATTGGAAACATCCACCTGCAACGTGGCAGGAAACACAGCCCAATGAATCTTGCCCTGAGCTAGTTCGTTAATCTCCCATGAACAAAGCCAATCATCCCCAGCCACCCCTCATCCCCATCCAGCCACCAGTCGAAATGATGGCGATGAAGTTTCTCCCAGCTCTTGGCTTCCGCATATTTCCGGAAGATGCTCAGCGTCTCAGCCTGTTTGGCCTTGAAGCTGGCAAGCCTCTTCGCCTTGGTCGCGAAGAAGGATGGGCTGGAAATTATCCAAAAATGGGGCGGGGGGGGGGGAGGTACTCAAAAAATCCCGAATGTAAAGGGGAAGATGAGAATCAACCATTGACTTTTGGGGTGTTTTCAGGCACATCTTGTCACTATCCTAGATGTCGCTTTTACATTCTTCAGGTTTAAAACACAACCCTCCACTGAAGTCACATCCCTTTTCTGGTCCGTTTCACCTCCCATTGTTGCACCCCATCCCAAACATAATATCAAACAGTCAAACACCACGTGAATCCAAAGACCAATCACATCATATCTTAAATCCCATTTGTTGTACCCGTTTGTTTCATATCCCACGTGTTTCAAACACCCGCCGCGTTCTCCCCACTGAAGTCACAGCCCGGTGACCGTCATCGTCTTCCCCGAAGCCGTCGACGCGCGACCGTCCACGCGCGCACGGACCTTGCGCCCATAGGTGGCTGCCATGGTCGGCAAGGCGGCCCATTTGGGAGGACGCACTTGAGCCTTGGGCCTGGCCCATGGTAGGAGGGGCACATTGGTACAAGGTGCTGCTACCCAACACGCTAGGTACGCTATCATTAACATATCTAGGGTTTACCGTATAGTAGATATATCTAATCTAAGGTTCGATGGGTTCATAAACCAGCTTATAACTGAGGGGCATCCCCTTGTATGGGCCAAGTGATTCGGTCAGGAAATTTGGGTAACCAAAATTGAGAACTTAAATTGCTCGAGTCGAGGACAAATCTCCCAGTCCTTCCCTAGCTCAAGAGTTGAGATTCAAGAAGTCTCAAAAACTGCTAAGCACGAAATCCATCGAAATCCCAGGTTTTATCAACACTTTCCTCATGAAACTGGCCAAGTCAACTGGGCAGTCCCCAATTTGACCCATCCCCATGTCCACCTGGCCGAAGCCGGCTTGGCTCCCGTTGGCAGCTCCCAAGCCAGCCCGCCACGGCTGAAGTTGGGCGGGACATCCATGGCCATGGCTGGGGTTTTCAGATCGATGTTTGCAGGTGGCTGGAAGTTCATGAAATCTTTCTTGTTTCGCTGGAAATTATATAACGGTGGCAGGTTTCAGTATGTGCTGATGTTCAGTTTCATGTGTGAGCTGCTAGGTTTCCATACAATGGATGAGTCATGTGGCATACTATGTGGATGATTCCAAGCATGTTCCATGCATGTTCCAAAAAGGCAGGAACACACAATGAATCTACGTTGCTTCTAGGTGAAGTATCCTTGGATCTCGACTGAAGCATGATTCAGGGCCCAAGTTGACACCATGTTCGGTGCTTTGGGCAAACATCTGGCGGCAAGACAAGAAGGGGGCCTAGGATTCCCGACTAGCTTAAGGCAAGTGAAATCGGGCGAGGTTTGTCCAGCTAAACTCATCCATCCAATATTGAAACACCATCCCACAGGGTTCTGTTTAATATACTGAATGCTCCGTTTATGGGATGATTGAAAATGGAACAAAAAAACGCCTTTTATGCTTGGTACAACCAAAAGGACATGTCACACGATCTACAATAACTCATTTAGAAATTTAGAACATTTTAGAACCACATTTGAGTAGCATCGGTATATTCTCGACACTTATCGCCTTTGGTTAAGTTGCAACTACCACCATTAACCATTGAGCATCCCATCAAACATTATGATAAGTTGGTTTACAAAGCCATAGAGCCGTTGAGGGAGCCACCACAAATCATAGGTATCAAGGTTCTAAACACTGAACCATCTAAAAGTCGATTCTAATAGTCGGTTCATTTAAGATTTTGCTGTTTAAATCATTAATGAACTTCAAGGATTTTTCGAATCCAATTGCTGCATCAAATCAATATAAATCCCATCAAACATGGCTGGTAAATCCGCAACTTTTTGGAGAAAAATCCATAGGAATTTCCATGACATTTTTCCTCATGGATCATCCTGAAAAACGAATCCCAACCGCCAGGTGATTTCCAGAGGGAACCATCCCCTGGGGACTGAATCAGACTGGCAAACCATGAAACGAAGAATTCTTGATGGCAAACAACCCCCTATTCAAATTCCATTGCGTACCATGATCTTTCCATGAAATATCGCTATTCAACATCCCATGAGACTGTAGAGATCTTATACTTCGAACACTGGATGAACCACTACGTTTACATTGGATAGTTTCACCCAGGTACTAGTTTAATACCCCAGGTATTCCCATTAATAAATAGCCTATTATCCACCTATTATTCTCCACATTAAATCAAAGAAAACCATATCAAATCATTGAAAACTCATAGGCACAATGATGGGATAAACAATTGATAAAGCTATAGAACCACATTGTATAAATATAAAATTACTTTACTTCGTGTGATCCCCACCATGACATTGATACATTTTCTTACTGGCAAATCTTCTGGCATTCTATCTGACATATCTTCTGGCATTCTATCTGGCATATCTTCTGGCATATGTTCTGGCATATCTTCTGCCATATCTTCTGGCATTCTATCTGGCATATCTTCTGGCATTCTATCTGGCATTCTATCTGGCATATCTTCTGGCATTCTAGCACATCTTCTGGCATTCTATCTGGCATATCTTCTGGCCAAATTATCTGGCAAATCTTCCGGCATTCTATCTGGCATATCTTCTGGCATATTATCTGGCAGTTGAGGTCCAGCGGTGCACACTAAGCTGGGCAGGCCCCAGGTTGAGGTCCAGCGGTGCACACTGAGCTGGGAAGGTCCCAGGTTGAGGTCCAGCGGTGCACACTGAGCTGGGCAGGTCCCAGGTTGAGGTCCAGCGGTGCACACTGAGCTGGGAAGGTCTCAGGTTGAGGTCCAGCGGTGCACACTGAGCTGGGCAGGTCCCAGGTTGAGGTCCAGCGGTGCGCACTGAGCTGGGAAGTTGGCGAAGAGCTTGGCGAAGAGTTGGCAAGGCGGAAGTTGAGGTGGAAGTTGATGCAGACATGGTCGAGGAGAAACTGGAGGAGGACGAGGAGGACGAGGAGGAGGAGGAGGAGGAGGAGGAGGAGGACAGCTAGCCGAGGAGGAGAACAACTGTGATAAAATCTAACAACCCTCACCTGGCAGGTGGGGAATAAAAATTCAATCCATATACAGTAAATTATAAATAATCCAATCCATATTTTTGTATACATATATATATACATATATACACATATATATATATATATACAGATCATCATAGATCCCTTTTTACACCCCAGCGCCTTCTCCTTCTCCGACTTCTCCGAAAGCTGTGTCTCCCGGGGCTCCGTGATCTCTTCGAAACCCAAGAGATGCAGCGCCTCGCGAAGGTCCTTTGTGCTGGGCAGTTTCTGACGTTTTTTTTCTCCCCGAAGATTTGAGATGATTTTCACTGATTTTATGACACGGTTTGCTGATTTGATGAGGATTTTGGGCGGGGGGACTTGGATGATCTTGTGATACGCTTTGATGATTTCATGATACATTTGGATGAGTGTAAATGATTGTGACATATATATATATTATACATGTGTGTTTTGATTGGCTTCGACTACTTCTGGTCACGTTTCTAGATGCTGTTTGATGTTGTTTAATGATGCTTGATTATGTTTATGTTTGATGATTTTCTTTCTGGGCTCTTTAAACATGACTTTGTATTGATGGTTTGCCGATATTTCATCATGTTCTATTGGCATGAGGACACATATTCCGTGATATTTCGCGACATTTTATGTTGAACATCCATGAGCATCCCACTTCAACAAGTGAGTAGGAACTGGGGCATCCCAATCTTTGGTTTTCGCGACCCGGTGCTAGGCAAGTCCTTCCAGGGATGACCCATCAACTGCCCACAGATTCGAGACACTGAGCACGCCAAGAGCTCGCCGAGCAGTACAAACTTGTCGGACCTCAAAAGAAACATGGGGAAAAACGAGGGGATGGCCCAGTCCCAACTTCCAATATCTTGAAATGGGGTTCCAATTCGCCTCAGTTCGCCACAAGTGGAGGGAGGGGTTGAATGGGATAGAATTGCAACACCATCTGCAAGTATTGATGATAGGGATGCCATTAAACTACTCGATATATCTACGGTGCCAGCCAGCGAAATCATGTTTCGCAGCAAGTCCTGGAAGGACTATTCTTTTTGCCGGAGGATCTTAGGGCAGCGAATTCGCTTTTTTGAGTGGTAAAACCCATGGTCCGATACCAACTCTCGTTCTCGTTTTTGTTTTTTACTATTCTGTCGCATGATCCCCGGATATTTGCAGCCTTTGGATCCTGTCACCAGCAATTCTCCCCGGTGCAAACAAGGAACCGGACCTCAGAGCTGGCATGAGGCCGGTAACTCTGACATCAGCCACACACACATATAATATATATGTATATACAGATCCGAATGGCTGTTTCACACGAATGGAGATCTTCAAAATCATCCAACATTTGCATGTTTCTTTTTTTTAAAAGTAGGGCAACCTCTGGTTTGGGGCATCCCTATTTCAGTAAACTCCCAAATGTTGTTATGTACCAAAATGTGAGCCCCCAAATCCAGGAAAAACTGGCAACGAGTCAAGAACAATGGGCAGCTCACCAGAAAGAATGCAGGCGGTCTTTTATTATGTTTCATACATAAGGGGCCCCAAAAATCCAGCATGTCGAGACATATCATGATATAATGATCTGGAATAATATGGAGTTCCCTTAACATGCCATACCATAACATACCAACATTGCTCGGTTGCGAAATTGTTCAGTGGGTATGTAATGTAGCTCCCATCCCTCCCAATCATTTGGGATCATTCATATAGAGGAACAACAAATATCAGCAAATCAAAGCCCATGATGCTCTTTGAAACTTCCTATCAAATCATCAAATATATCAAACAACTGCACACTTGCGATCATTGGCACAAGAGAAACCATCAAAGTGCAGTTCCAATACGTGGTCCGTGGTACAACCATATATTCATCAACCAGATTCATATAAGTATAGGCGATATATATCCCAACTATTCCCAACATTATGGTGGTCAAAAAATCTCCCATCTCATCATCTCCGAGCGGCGAAGGTCAGGTCCAACTTCCCAGCCAGGCGGCTTTGCAGCAAGCTACCAAACTCCTGGGCCAAAATCACCACAGGTCTTTAAATGGGTCATGAAAATCTGTAAGATTATGTAGGCAACAAACAACAACTGCATTCTGGTTGTTCCAAACACACTTAGATCAGCTCTCTGGGAATATGAATATATATATATATGAATATGTATGAATGGTTTAATTGAAGCAGTTTTCAAGGACCATTTCTGACATTTGACATCTGCCTTCAGGATTACATCGCTCGGCGCTGCGCACTGACTGAACTGGAACTGCAGTTTTGGCTGTTGGGGTGCCAATTGTCATCCTCAAGTCTTCAAAGATGGTCCACAAACGTGGCAAAACAGCTTTCCAAATTTTCCAGAATGACTTCACCCTGTTCAAGCACTCAAAAACTGAGCCGACACGTTTGGGATCAATAAACTTCAATCAATATACAATATTTCCATCATCAAAAAGTGGGGGATGGAATGGAAGGTGTCTTTCGAACCGTTTTTCTCCATCTGTTTCTCTGTAGAACCATTTTTAAGCTCCGACGCTCCTCAGGACTCATGTTGGGCACACCACGGGGTACACATGACACGTCTGGGCACCAGTGGCTTGGAACTTAACTTTTTGGCTAGACATGTTAAGATTGAACTAAGTGACTAATGAACATGTGCAAACATGTGAGCATCATGCCAAATCCACCCAAATCCCAGCAACATTATCAAAATGGACCAAGCTGGTTTCTTCCATCTGCGCTTGTCTCATTGCGATGCAGGGCCATTGAAACCATCTCCGGCCAAAACTGAGCGCTCTTGAGCCATCGCCCGTGGCAGCCCACGGGGATCTGTGGGCGGTGCAACTTGGAGACCTCAACTTCGAAGGGGAAGGGAACAGTGGGATAATAGTAGAGCAGTAGAGCATTGACAGCTA